GACTATTATAACTACGATTTAACCTGTCATTTCGTGTTTATAGTTTTGGTATTTCTGAACTTTCTGGACTTTTCTTTTAAACGTTTTTAAAACATTCCTACGGTCTTAATAAACAAGAAAATACCTTTAAAGCATTTTTTTTAGGCGCGGAAACCACTTCAAATTACAAAAACATACGGAACTATATTCTCAAAAGACGGAGCACATTTCTTGCCGAGGAAAAATAGCGGAGTGATACGGACCACGGGTACTACTTTCTCCAGGGCACCATTTGTGTAATTGTGTTGCTAGCTGAACCTAAAAACGTGTTGTATAGTGTTTGAAAGACTAATTATTTATGTTTTATAGTGACTGTAGGAAAAATATAATGTGTAACACGAGTGAAAAAGGCCTTTGCTGCACTCGAGATCATTCCGCACTCGCCTGCGGCTCGTGCGTAAACATTGCTCTCGTGTGCAGCAAAGTGCCACTTTCACCACTAGTTACACAAATAACTATTACGTAACATGTACCTATATAATTTTAGTTTCTTCTTTTAGCATCTCTCTTACTGTACATAATCATATTACTTTCAACTTGAACTTTTTCATATTTCACAGGTCAGGTCAGTAATATTCCTAGTTCAGGCCTCATATTCCTTTCATACAGTTTGCTCTACATAATGTTATCTACCCAGTGTTTGATGTACCTCTTTCAGAAATAAGATAAAAATTTATCATAAATAGGTAATCAAATTAAATAGATTACTGTTCCAGCTACTGATTTTTTAGCGAATTCCCCTAATATTAGTAGTGAATGTACTAAGCTAAGCTATAAATCTTTCACAAAAAAACTTTATCACCCTCCCTGTAGCAGCAAACCTAGGTACTTGTTAAACGTTATGTTATTTCTTTAATTCAAAAACCAATAATAATTCACTCACTCACTAATTCTCCTTAACTTCACATTTACCAAGGAGACAGACATTTGGTTCATTGATTATTTTGGCAATTTGGCATTAAATAGGAAAACTAAGTAGTTTTTATTCTGATGTGACTTTCGGGCTCTGCCCCAGTGGCTCTGGAGTTTCCTATATTAACCTTATGATGAGTATTCAAGTACAGTAATTAATTAATCTTAACAGCTTTAAATGGCATAAAGTACAAGGTTTACCTTAAGGGTGTAACACTACTATTTTTTTGTTTTTAATTTATGACAACAGCTAATTTTTGAACTAGCTTAACAAAAGGTGTGATACACAATGAGAACTGTAAAAGTAGGATTGTTTTTAGTTATGTTTGTTTTTAATTTAATAAAACTAGTATATATGCTGCTCAAAAACAATAAATTTATATACGTTACAGGACTATAGAAATTTCAAAATAAAATTAAAATAATAAAATAACATCTGACGATTTGTTTTTGCACCAAACAATATATAAGCTAGGGCTAAGCCTATCAGCTGTTGACCTAGAACTCTGCATCTAAGCCTACACCCAGTGAATGGTTTATGGCAATCAGTTCAAAAGGTCAATATAGCAACTGGTTCAATAATGAGCCTACACAGGATGTGTGAACCACTGAACTATATGAACCACTAGAAAATTACAGTGTTCATAGTTAGCAACTGGTCTAGTGTGTAATTTACCCTTTTGTTTTACTATCTTGTCCTTGATGTAATTTAATCAATCCTTTTTGAATTTATGATTAAAACCTCATATTTTTAAAGCAATCTACAACGTAAAAAAAGTCTAATAACACTTAAAACATATATTTACGCTTATACTGTTAACTTACAAGATAAATATACATAAAAGATGGTAAGTGGTGATTTTGATTGGACACTCCAATAGACATGATATTGGGTCTGATGATTGGAGTGTCCAATCGAAATCGATCACCACTTCCATCTTGTATATATATTTACCATCTTGTGAGCTAACAGTATAAGCGTAAATACGTTTTAAGTGTTATCTGATGTATATTTTATTTACTTTCTGTTAATTTTATAACACGTACAATGCTGATCAAGTAGTTATTTACAATCTATAAATGAAAATTTCTCAGGATGGTTTCTAAATTACAATGCCTTCTTATACCTTAATATTTAGTTTACTTTATTTACATTACTTTACATTTTACTTTTTTACAACAATAAAAACAATTAACACAAAGGATAAAATCATAAAATAATATTACACTTCAATTATATACATGAAAACTTTATTAAGGAACGCGGCAGCGTTCCGCCCCGCCAAGTCCCCCAGCGGTACACAGCTGCTGCAGTGTATATATACATGACGTGACAAAGTGGCTTTTTTACTCGTCTATAGCTCTGAAGAAACAAAAGCTATTAAAATAATTGTTCATCCACTGGATAGGGGCAATCATTCTTGGCAAAATAAAAAAAAGAATTTAAAAAAAGGTTGTGTTTGAGCCAAGAAAAACTAGTTTGAAAATTCACAAATTTTCCGTGTTCTCCTTCTTCTCCTTAAATGTTGACGGACCTACAGCCCAAACCACTGGCTCAATTTTAATGTTTTTTATGTTGTTTGAAAGCCCTTAGCGTGTAGATGTGCCTTTTGAGGGTCACAAGTCGGTGCGTTGACCCATAAACCCTTGGCAAGCCCTCAAAGTACGATTTTGGCCCATTTAAATAACATGGGATTAAAATCAAAACAAAAGAAGGATCAGCTGCGATTAAATCTCAATTAATTTAAAATGTTAGAGAAATTCATAGGATCAGCTGAAAAATTATTTTAAAACTTTTATAAAGTATTTTTTTCAGGTATACCGAATGATTTGAGCTACTTACTATATAAAATTACTTAGAGCAGTGATATTCCCCGATACTTTCCATTGAAAAATGCAGTGTACCGATGGTACACTGGTACAGCAGCTCGTCATTTTTAACAGTTTAATACTACTTATCAAAACATATGAAACCTAGGAACTTGAAACTTAGTACTAGTACTAAGGTTAGTTTTAAAATTGTTTCTTCATAATATTGCCAAAATTTATTTAACTAAATAAGGTTAGTTTTATGTTTTGATACACTAAAACAAATAAAACAATCGGGAAAATTCGTCTACGTATGTTAAACAAGCAAAAAAGTGAATGTAAAAAGTGATATGTAAATTTAGGATAAAAATTAGTTTTTCAATATTTGTTTTGCCTTATGCTATTTCTAACAAACCTAATCTGTTTGATTACATTTTTACTTCTCTAATAAGGGCTCAATTTACACTAGTCTTTAGATATACGGGTTTAATTATCGGAACACTTATGTAACACCAATGCATTTTATGTGTAGTTGTGCCCTGGTCTATATAAGAGAAAAGAGGATTTTTATTTTAACTGTTAATTTTCTACAAAAATAAATACAATCTAACAAAAAACCACTAAGTGGTAACACTTCCCCCGCCAAGTCAGCAACCCAAAAAAGACAATAAATCACCACTTTTCCGCCAAGTAAAACAATGTAATGTATGTAAGTTTGGCCACTTGGCGGCAGACTTTTGCTTGATCACTTTAAAAAATACCATAAAATTAGTTTCATTGAGCAAGTATCTCTCCCAATAGTACATTGCTAGATGAGAGCTTATTTTACAAAATTTGACCTTATTTGTGTCACATTTCATAAAATCATAATAGTGATGGTTTTATATTTACTGATTACCTCGAAATTATTATACTTAGTTGGACTAATTAATTAGAGAAGTTGATTTGTGAAATTATCCACCAACGTAACTTTAATGAAAAAAAAACAAGCAAAAGTCTGCCGCCAAGTTGCCAAACTTACATACATTACATTGTTTTACTTGGCGGAAAAGTGGTGATTTATTGTCTTTTTTGGGTTGCTGACTTGGCGGGGGAAGTGTTACCACTTAGTGGTTTTTTGTTAGATAGAACTATGCTGATTATGAAGGGGGGGGAATTCAACAATTAATTAATTAATTTGGAAGTTTACATTTTCTATTAATAATTTTGATTTACTTTTGAATTATACTAAAAGAAATTAATTTACTTACCCAAAATTAGGATTTACAACACACCAAAATAAAAATAAAACTCACAAGGAGAAAGGAGCAAATCACTTTTGAATTTACTGGAAACTAGCTGTTGCCCACGTTTGACTTCAAAGTATTATAAAAAACTATTGATTGGTTAAGTTAAGGGGAGATGCCCAGTTTTTCGGTCAAAAAAATATATATACTGTAATTTACTATGAAATTTATACAAATTTACTGATGAAATAAACAAAACAGAATAGGCATACAGCATTACAAACAAATAATCACACGATTTTATTAAGGTAATAAATAATTGAAAGAATAACATACAAATAAGAACAGCTGAGGTATTTTTAACATTAAGTATATAGAAAGTTCCTTTTGGAAAGCAACTAAGACCTTAAAGGGCAATTTATGAAAAAATGGATAATTTTGCGCAAGGTTTCTCGTCAAGACGAACATTTTAAGTATATGGTTTATGGGGGTGTGACTTGTAGTTTTCTCAAAAGTTCATGGGTACTTTTGCCTCGTATATAGATGTCTTAATTATTATGTCTTAATATTGTAAAAATACTTAAAAATGTAAAAATAATGAGTGAAATACAGTACTCGATAGAACCTCATGTAACAAAATAGATTAAACAGCAAATCGAACCTAATATTTTGAAGAAAAAAGCATGTTTTAATATTATGAGTTATTAGGTGATATAATTAATACCTTTTAGATACAACACTCTTTTCAGACTTGACATTCACATTGTTTGAATATGGCTAAAATTATCCAATGCCCTATACAGTTTAAAACTGGTATGGAATTAATTTACAAATATATAAATGATTTATTTACAACGGCTAACTTATATACCCAGTAGCCTACATAATTATTGATAATCATGGTCCAAAACTTTTGCATTGTATATTAAGGCTCCTCTAGATTTTACTGAATAATTACTTCAGGTGATTGATTACAACATAAATCTCGTCAGGATCTACCGGTATTACTTGAGTTTAACTTTCAACCTCCATCACAGCAACTTCTTTATCCTGTTCCCAAAGTCTAATAATGTCATTTAAGACTTTTATCCTTTGGGGAAACAGACTACTAGATGCCTCCAGGGCGAGAGAGGCAATCTTTTCAATTTTCAAAGTGACAATGCAGTCCTTGTCGCTTGGTGACAAAACTTCCTCTAAAGTTTCAGACAATTCTCTATCAACAATCTCTTCATGACAACTGGTAGTGTCTGTTAACATCAAACGACTATTTTTCAGGTAGAATTCTCTAGTCCATCGTGTAGGGACGAGAATGCTGTCGAAGAGGGGTAAGCCTTCTTTTTGTCTAACGTACAAGATGTGGTGGCAGGGTAAATTGTAGGAGCAGAAGAATCTGCAGCTACATTTACTTTTTGAAGTAGTTAGAACACCTCGTGACGAAGCAATGAGAAATTCACCTGTTGACATTTCAGCAATTATTTTGACTTTATTCATGAGAGCAAATTTATCATTCACTAAAACAAAGGCATATGGTGTTAGAATCTGCAAGTAATGACTCTGATCTGCATGTGCAAGTGTAACATTTAAAGGCACTTTCACATTAAATTTAGCAGCCTTTGCACACTTCTCTGCTCTTAAGTTCAGCAACAAGCAGTCTAGATTTTGGAATAGATCTGGAAGCATTGGATGTCTCTGAACAACCTGCATGACTTTAGAATTGATTGATTCCAATCCATTATTTGTTATGTTTCCAAAAGTAGAAGCAATTTGAAGAGCTGGGACCCATTTCTCTTTTATTGGATGCCAATTTTTCTCAAAATAATTAATAAACTTGGTAAGTTTAAACCTCTTGATCTCATCGTAGATGGAATTGTATTCCTGCTCATTTTTAGAATGCGTCAGTTTCCGTGCATACTCATGGTACAGCATTTTTTCTCCACTAGAAATTCCCATTTTATCACAGGTAATTTCTCTTTTGAAGGACCTCAAGGTGTGGAAAGTACTAATCAACAGTTCTGCATTTTTAAACCCTTTTTTAAAAGTCTCTCTTTCTTGGAAGTCCTTATCAATCATGATTGTTAATGTATTTTTCCATGCAGGGTTGCACTTCTTAAAAACCTCAACCATCTTCTCAACGGTGAAGGCATCCTCTGAAGCAAGTAGCATAAAAGCTACGATTTCCGGGTCTCCATTGCTGTCCTCAACGAGAATAATGTACAATGGAGTTTGTAAATTTGACACACTATCAATAACATCAACAAACAAAATTTCAGGATAAGTTGAGTATGTCCTTTGCATTTCAATGTCCTGATAAAATAATCCCAAAAATTGGTTTTCTTCATTAATAAAAATTTTAATTATATTTCCATCTTGGCTTTCAAGATAGTTTAAGGTATCCTGAAGATTGTGACCTAAATCATTCTCCGTATCGTCGTTGTGTAGGTCTTTCGTCAGCCTTTTCTTTGAGGGTAGAAGCTTAGCTTGTAGTGTTCTCTTGTCGACTCTCAATTTTAGCATATGGTTCACCATTTCTTGAGATTTTGTATTTAGCTGCCGTTGTCGTGGTAGAAGTGAATAAGTCTCCTGTAAGAAATACATATGGTTAATCATATTTACCGATTAAAAATTACCCTAACATACATCTAATAATTTTATATTTATCCTACTATAATATATATAATATTATAAATGAGAAAGTTTGGATGTATGGATGTAGGGATGTATGTATGTTTGTGACAAGTAAACGTGAAAAATACTGGTCGGATTGGGCTGAAATTTGGTGTGATGATAGCTCACATTCCCGATTAACATATAGACGCATTCTTATCTCAAAAGTCCATTCGGGCTCCGCCCCAGGGGCTCTGGAGTTTCCCATGTTTACCTTATGAGTAATCATATTTAAAAGGAATAAAATAATTTTGTCAGCAGTTCCAAATACACAAGTTGGTTCTATGATATTAAATAGCATTAACAAGTTATAAGGTTTACCAACAGGGCGCAGTAGACTACTATTAATTTTAATATAAAACTTCAGTATAGAATATTTTTTAAATATCAAAATGTTTATATTTTGCGTCCTCTTCCCGTTGCAAAGTACGGGTACAAAAGCTAGTAGGCCTAATTTTATATTTATAGCAGTCATGACTATTGGTCGATAATATAATATAATCATTCCTCCACAAATATTACAATAGGGTGATGATTTAAACTTAAATGGACAAAGAAATAGCTTGCTTTAGCACAGTAAATGTATTGTCTATGTGAATAAAAACAGTGGAAATTATTATTAAAATTTAAAAATGCATGCCCTACTGTGTGAACATTTTATGATACTCTTTTTTTAGGCTATAAAGTTTAGGCAGTTTGAAGGGAAGTTACCCCACCTCTTTTAATACATGTTGCTTAGATGTTGAGCTATTAATATGAGCTAAGGGTCAAGTGGAGGTGATAGATTTCTTCAGTGCTCGATTTGTAAAAAATGAGGTGCCGGAACTGTAACCTCTTTAATGTGATTTGTACCTATTTATGCCAATATTTTTATCTTCCCAAAATTGAGGTACTGGAACTCCGTTCCACTGCGTTCCCCCGCATATCGAGCACCAGATTTCTTCCCCTAAAACCACATTAATTTTGTGAATGGAGTATAATAATACAACGCAATTTTGAAGTTGTGTGTATGTCAATTGAGATTCATGTGAAAACTTAAGGACCAATTAAGATGATTGGCAAAAGCCAAACTTAAGGAAAACTCATATTTCTCTACAAAACTTATTTGAAGTTTAAAAAATGTAACATTGGGTTGCCAAGTAGCTATGCTGGTTTAAGAATAAGAAGGATTACGTAAACTAAAGACCTGTAACACATGTTTATAGCAAGCCATCCACAGTATACTAGCAAATTACAAAATACAGAGGAACAAAGGGAAAAAACCTACTTAGTTGTGACTATTGAGCAAAGATTACACAGAAGATGACTCGTCATTGGGAAAAATATTTTTGATGAAATACTGATTATTTGTCTTGGCTCCCTACCACAAAAAATTTATCCCAAGTAGCCTAAAAAGGAAATTGATGGCAAACTTTTTTCAACAGTGAAAAAATATTTTTTCTTGTAGTGCAGCAAACACAGCCGTTTTTAACACATGCATTGCAGATCTAAAGTTGCTCTTCTGCCCCCTAGGGAGTAAAAATCCTTTTTAGTTCCTAGGGAGTACAAGTCAGCTGTTGTAAGCACAGTAGTAAACTTTGATTATAAGCCATCTCATGTTTTTAAATTATGTAACAGTTAATTCAATCGAATGTAGCTTATTGTTGCTTTCAATAGTATCAATTCATTTTCCGACCTTAGCTTTGCCTCATTCGTGAAACTTGAACACTGGTTGGAAAGAGTCACTTTACGCCCTAGTGATGTTATCTTAAATAGGCCTAAATTAGAATTCAAACAAACATTTTTAATTGGCTGCTTTTAACTAACCAACTGCCAACACAATGTTTATGAAACGATGAAAGTTTATGGTATAAACGAAAAAAACGAGTGATTTTACAACTTACTGTAAATAGTGGTTTAATTAGGTCTACTTTTTAAAACAAAAAGATTGTTAACATTTGCATTGTATACAGTAGACTCCCTCCTATCCGGACTCCTTGGGACCGAGGCCAGTCCGGATAACGGTTTTTCCAGTTAAACCGATCGATGTCCCCAAAAACTTGTTAAAACGGAACATTTAAATGCATACTGTATACAGTATTTGACATAAATTTAGGAGAGCATTGTATTTACACACGTGATCACTGGTTTTAAATCTTTCCCACGAGAACAGTCGTTTCAGTAGGTACCACCCACTTCCTGCCGATCTAGTCCGGTTATACCGATGTGCTGATAAAAATTGTCCGGTGAAAGAGATGTCATTTCCGCCGAGTGTAGTCCGGTTAAACTGATGTCCAGTTAAAAGGTGTCCGGATAAGAGGGAGTCTACTGTAACTAGCTTTAAGTAAGTCTTGTACGTCACTGCACTAAATTGTACCAAATATCAAACTGGAGAGCTGTCCGTTGGAATGTAAAATAAAAATAAAACACAGTAAATTTGAAATAAGTTTGTATAAAAGAGGTATATATATATTTGCTACGTAATTTATATTAGCCTACATAGGGATAAGCCTACCTTATTTCGATCATGGTTGTGCTCATCAACGCTGGATATCAAATCCAAAGTTCTGCCGTCAGAAGAAACCCTGAAGCCCATAATAAATGGACATTCTTGTTTGTAGGTGCTGTAAAAAAATTGTTAGTGAGGATGTGATTTAAAAACAAGCAACCATAACATAAATTAACATACCAAAACACTAACGTGGGGATTTATTTAATTTAAGGTCTCTTTGAATGTTCTGCAAGATGGATTCATGGAAAAGTTAAGTAGAAAACCAACTAATAGGCTCTAGATTAAAGTCACCTCCTACCGACTCATGTTCTACTGTTGGCGGGAAAGTCTCCCTTAAATTAGGTGATTTCCGATGCCACGAATATTCCTGGAAAGACAAGATGGATGGGTACTTGATTGTATTATGTAGAGGACACTGTATTGTATTGTGAGAGGGTTGGACTCAGGGTCCTAGCATGTTAACCGAAGCCCCCCCCATAACCTAATTGTCAGAAATAATTAGATAACCAAGCAACTTAAAAATGGGAATTTTGTCTCCTTAGGCCTAAATAGTAAATAACAAACCTTAAGAAAACATGAATTAAGTTTACTTATTTTAAATAATTTTAAACAAATGAAAAATAAGTAGGCCTACCGGTAAATATACTTATTATAAAAATAAAACATAGTAGAAGAGGAAAGTAATTTTCTGACAGTACATGTTAGTTCTATTATCATGCAAAACATATATTTATCTGTTTATTAATGCACAGGTAAATTCTCCAAAACATAGCGCAGGATAGGAACGTGAAATGCCACGATACAATACTACCAAAACTATAACTGATCAGGCGCATGAACAGGAGGTTTAACTTATCCATTCATTCTCTAGTCGGATAGGCCTAGTTTTATCTGTCTCTGGAAGCAGCACGGACGCTCCCCACCCCACTACACTAAAAACCATCAGATGAATCATCCATCTGAAGACTATCGGATGAAACATTGGATATGGTTGAAATCAGTCGTTTGACCCATCAATAGTTTTAGGTGAGTTGGGGGAGTGAATTTTTTACAGTTGTGGTTTTACAACTGTAAAAATTTGATTTTATAAGTTAACTTACCCTACTGTACTTATTCAATAACTTATGGTACCTGTAGGCTTAGGCCCTAGATACTTTTGTTGCGATACTTCTGCTGAATGGAATGAATGAATGAATGAATGAATGAATGAATGAAAATCCTTTATTTCAACAGGCAAAGGTGTCATTACTTCTGTGGTATCATTAGGCTACTGCAGTTCTGCTGGGTATAGATACCAAGTATTGAAAGATCGGTCATATCACAACATCCCTGATTGAACATTAGGAGAAGGGTGGGTGTAAAAAATGTTTTGGGAAAATCCAGGAATGTAACTTAGGCCTAGCACGTCTAGTAGAGGGCCGGACATGACTGGCGACACCAATTGAGTAGTTATTTAAGTGCGGAGCCTAACCCAGCAAGCGCCCCCTTGAAGGTTACAGTTGGTCTATCTTATGCAGAATCACAATAATAATGGCGAGGGCTTTAGCAATAGAAAACTTACCTCTGTTTTGGTCGAAGCCCCTTGGATTTACTTTTGAGCACACCTCCATGAATACACACATAATTGATACTGTAATATACCAACTCACTTTTCATAAACCGTTTTATCCCTTTCTTCCTTGATGCAGCTATAGTTCTAGAATCTCTAATTGTCAACTGAATCAACTCTCGTTTTTCTTTTTCAACAATGAAATGTTGTAGCTCTTTGAACGAAGAAAACTGTAAACTCATGGTTACATCACGATCAATAACAACTAACTAGTTTAAAAGCGTAAAACAACATTCAAACCAAACCCAAACAGAATAGTAAAAGGGTAACTTTAACTTAACTATAGGCCTAGTATAGAGAGACGGGAGACGGGACTAGCTGGGAGCTGGCCAGCTGGGTGAGGTTTTTAGGTTATGTTTATTGTTTATATTTTGCTTTGATTAAGGGGAGATGTACGCCGCCTATACCCGCAATGTTAAACATATACATGTATGTGACCCATTATCTCAAAAAGTGTAAGACATATGAAACTGAAATTTTTTTCCTAGTATATATATATTATACTAAAGACACCCTAGCATTTTTATTCGATTTCTTATATCCGTTGGTATTTTTTGAATTTTTTTTTAAATAAAAAAAAAGTTGACTTTTAATTTTATTAAAATATTTTCTATATTTTTTTGTTTTTGAGCTAGAAGCCTAAAACAGGTAGGGAGTGTGCATTTAGACCTGCTAAGTATATGGTAAAATTTTGAAATAATTTGACTTACTTCTTCCTGAGATAATGGGACTTTAATGCTAAAAAAGTGAATTTTTGAGAAATCGCAAAAAACGCAGAAAATAATAATTAACTTACATTTTAAAACATTCCAGCTGCATAATCCTGCTCCTTTTCTTTGTCAGCATCCCAGAGCTTCTTCCTAATCATCCTGGTTCTTTTCCTGGCTTGCTTTGTCTTCTCATCACATGAAATTTCTGATTTCATCATCCGGTATCGGTCGATGTCACTAAGAAATCTCGCACAATTTCTTCCAACTTTGACCCCAAGCTCTTTCAAAACCTCTAATCGTCCCCTGTTTCCTTCATTAAAAGTAATAACAGAGTCAAATGTGCCAAATCTCAGAGTTTGTCTTCCAACAAAATTATTTTTGGGAATCCTGGACCACACAACAGAGTTAAAACTTTCGTTGATGTTTTGTGTTCGGCCATGCAGACATTTCTCTAACAACTCAGTTTTCGCCAGATCCTCGAATATAGGTTTTATTTGGTCGATTATAACCTTGTCTAGTGAGTTATTGTGCTTGTATGTTTTATTTTCTTTTATAGCTTGTTTGTACTTGCACCATGCTTCGTCGCAATGTTGATGTTGTGGGGTGTCGTCTGTGGAAGCTTTATGGAAGAGGATTCCCAAAACGTCGCTTTTCATTTTTTCCAAATTATTTTTGTTGCGCCTAATAGCTAAGCCATAATAATTTTGTAAAGAGTCTATGACACTGTCTGTGAGCCTACCTTTTTTCCCCCCTATCTTCAGTCCATCACTCAACTTTTGTCCTTTCAAGTCTCTTCGCAACTTTCGAAGACGCCCACCCATTCGTTTCTGAACGTGGCCTACACATTCTAATTTTTCAATATTAAAAGTAGGCCCATATGGTTGGGATTCAACAACAGTGGAAAACCCCTTACAGTCTCCGTCCCCTAGGTAGTATTTGTACCTGACATTTCTTGTGGCCACAGAACGCGAAAATACACTCTTGGCTCCGGCAACCTCCATCGAACCACTACTGCCTTCAAAGTTCTTCTCACAAAAGTGGTGGCCTTTTTTTTGTTTATTTGATTTAGATGTACTGCATGTGTGACAATATTTTGTAAGGATTTCCACATCGAGGATTTTACTCGTGTCGAAACTTGAAACTGATACTATACCATTGAGCGAAGCAAAACCTCGCCGTTGCCATGTACCATCGATGCCTACACTGATATCTCTGGTAGTGGTACCATCATCACTAACATTCTTTTCTACGGCTTCTTCTATGGCCTTGATCATTGAATTGTGAGCAACAGTTCTCACAGATTCTACCATAAGACTGTTGTACCTTTCAAACCTAATTGGAGGTTTAGGCAAGTCGAGTAAAGCAAAAAGAGGCCTACTTGAAACCGAACCCTTACCTATTGCCCTCAACCCATAAACACACTTTAAGTTTACATCAAAAAAATTGTCTGTTTTGTGTGATGTCCAAAAAGGAAAAGAGTGAAAACATTTCTTACATTCAATTACTAGTTTACAAGCTAGTCCTTGTCGTGAACTTTCCTCTTCTGTCAAAGTTAGCGAGCTCTCAGATTTACATTGCTTACAAGCAGTGGCACATAACAAAGCCTGAGATAAGATGTTAATACTTAGTATTATATTGTTGTTACTAACACTAAAACTATCAAATGTATCTGGCACTGTCCCAATCTTTTTCGATGAAGCAGATGGAGGAGTAGGCCTACTTTCAATGCTAGGCACAGAATCATTTAGTCTTTGATTTTCAGGATCCAAACTTTGACTGTTTTCAGTTACAGGCGTAGGCCTATTTCCTTCATTTTGCACACAACTATTTACCTTTGCATACTGGTTACCTCGAAAGCTTCTTTTCTTCCACAACTTTTTAGTTTTTGTCATTTTGTAACATCACTTTTACACTCAGCACAAAACATAACCTTTGCTATAAAATTTGTAAACAATGCTGAACCTCAACACAAACATAAACATATGGATCAGACGACAATACAGACTAAGAGAAAAACAAACCAGGAGCCAGGTTAGCCAACACAACTTATCAAAATCAATAAAATTAGCTAAGATAAACAGGAGCATAATGTATGAAAGTAAGTTGTGTTTGGTTGCTAAGTAGCCGTGTGGAAATTTTTTCAAAATTTATTTTTTATATTTTATTAACTCAAAATAGGCATGTATTACATACCATTGCAATCAGAATAAAATAAACTATACAAATATTAAATAAAAAATTTTTTTTTTTTTTTTTTTTTTTCGGGCGTACTTCTCCCCTTAATGATGATGGTTGTTTACCATTTTTTCCAATTGGCTAAAATTGGCTTGACCATGCAGCCACGTAGTTCAATACATATTTTGTGTCTACATTAGGGCATAGGGCATATACAGTACATAAATAATTTGGGTTATTGTTAATAATTGAGATAGGGGCACCACCTAGTTGCGTATTTTTATTTTAACTTAAATACCAAATATGAGAAAAGGATGAGTGTCGGGTTGAATGAAGTGAGATGATCGATGATCTGTGTAGCTTATTTGTTATTGACTGTTTGATTAGTCAGGATCCTTTTTAAAGCCTAATGATCAGGAACAGCAGGGTCCATCAGTCGTTCCCATGACAAAGAGTATTGTCGTCATAGCCCCTCCTGTCCTGACCATTACCACCCGATGTCTTCTCCACGATCCAGGGATCGGGGAGTCGTCACATTACTTCCTGGGACCAGAAAGTCTTCTTAAATGGCTTTGTAAACCTATTCATGTCTCATGTGTTGGAAGGTGTGCTCTTCAATGAATTCGGTGACTGCATGTGTAGTATGGCCTAGCTGTATAGTATTGCTCCAGTTTGCTATTGAAGAGTTACCAGGTTTTTCGATGGGATTATAAAATTTAGTTGGAACTGTTGTTGAATTTCTGTGATCGATGTTGTGGCTAGACTATGTCATGTGTGTTACGGAGGTGGTATTGATGATGTTCTGATCTTATGGTAAATGTTGATTTTTTGCAAGTGTGATGGATTCCAACAGGTATAAGGAGTAAATGATCGACTAAACGGATATGGTGGCTTCTTGAAAATCGGCTTGCCTGTTCAAGCACGGCCACCATTAACCAGGCCAGGCCTTCGAAGTGGCAACGTCGCAAGTAGTTTTCCAAAGCTGTTTTGTTTGGAAGCAGCTAAATTGTTATTTGTGTACACTCCACTTTAAATACAGAAACATATTTTAAACATAAATTGATTCGGGTTTCAATTCTATATGTTACATTTTCAATATTTTAATAAATTTATGTTCGTAAATTTACATCTAAATGAATAGTTGACAAATTAATGACACCTGTCAGGTGACACCTGTCTGTAATGTTATTCTATTAGGACGTCTAACACTAAACAACACTACTTGCGACGTTGCCAATTCTACCAGGTCACGGCCTGGGGTTAAGCAAGTGAAGGGGCCACGTGCACCAGCGTTTCGATTTGCCGGGACAACAGTGTTGTCACTTTGTTTCACCGCGGCCTTGTATTATAGGAGTCTTTTGTATTATCTATCTTTAAAGAATACTGTATTTGAAATATATGTTTACAGCCTATTTAGACTGAACATAATGATTTGATTTTTAAGTGGTAACCACGATTCGGTTGACTTTGAGGTATTATTTTATACGAATAAAAGTGTATTTGTGGAAACTAATATTGTGGGTTTCACCGGAAACAAATTGAGTTGTACCCAATATATACAATGTATTGAGTATTGATACAGTCATTAATTTAAAAAAAAATTATGCTGATAATCAATGTACAGCATAACTCTATAAACTACATACTCTATGCGTAAAACATCTGTCGTCTGCTTTTGTTTCGGGCAAAAAAAACTAGGCTACCTACAACTACAAACTACAAACTAAACTATTGAAGGAAGAAACTAACGTCGACTGAACTAACCATGATACTTAAATTAAGCTTAATGTTTTATTTATTATTTGTTAGCTATTGCTTCTGCGAAGAATGCTCTCTTCACTACAAACCAATCCCGGAAAGTAAAAAGCAGCTTCTCAATAGAATATCTTTGTTAAACAGTCAAAGGTTGGTGTAGGCCTAAGAGGTTATGATTTCTTAACAGTTTTGTTTATATTTTTGTTAATAAACCAATTAAATAATTAATTAAAAACAATTAATTACAAACAGGAAAATGGTTGTTAGACATTTAATCGAACATCCATAACAATAATGGGGTTTCTAAAGGTTAATGACCATAGGATGTGGCAATCAGCTCCTCTTAATCGTGAATATTCATAGATTGCCTATTTACAGCTTTTTGAAGAAAAGTTGCCTGGAGCAATCAGCATCTTACTTAACCTACTTAGGTATTTTTTATCATTTGAACATAATCAATTGTTTGTTTTTAGGTTTGTGGTTGTTGACAAAGGTTTCACATATGCTGTTACGATTTGTAGCGAAGTTTCCAAAAATTATCCAAATGCTGCTGCAGCTAGAAGTTTTAACACAGATAAAAATACAACAGTTATCGGTCGTTTGAATGACACACACATCGTTGGTGGAAGTAAGTTAAGTTAACTTATTAGAACCAAGCATTATTTTAAGAAAGGCCTGTTTAAGGTCTGTCATAAGCCCTGCTTTAACCATAGTTCACCTTAAAAATAAAAAGCCTAGCTGAATGAAACTTTACCCCAGATTTGCGAAATTGATTTTAAAGTCTCTCTGGTTTCAATAGGCCTACTCACTTTTCTCGGACATTCATTGTAATCCTAAAAGACTTCAATTAAGTTACTTACCAGTTGCCAGATTGATATCTTTGATAAATTATATCTTTGATCACAGATGTCACAATAGGTAGGCCTACTACTTTCCCACTGTTATGATGCTCAATAATGTCCTGAACTCAAAAATGATTCTTGTTTTCTCCGGAAAAGTTGAATAATTTATTATACGGTATAGGCCTACCTATCACACATTTAAGGTGGTATTTAACGCCTCTTTCACACGAAGCAGCGCGCGCCGTGCGGCGCCCGCCGCGCAGCACTGCGCCGGACGAGCGTGTGTCTTCACACTAGTACGGTTTCGTGCGGCGTGCGCCGTAAGGCTCTCCTAAATATTTATTATTTTCTGTTCAGTTGTGGCTTTTAAATGAATACCCCATTAAAAAGTTCAAATACAATGAATAGGCTAATTTAATTTCTGTTTAGTTGTGGCTTTTAAATGAATACTCCACTTAAAAGTTCAAATAAAATGAATAGGCTAATTTAAAATATAATAAACTAGAGCACCTGTTGCTCGAATTCGAGCAATTGCAAAATATTAAAGGAGTTTTTTTACGAATAATTGTCACAATTTCCGTTGACTTGAAAGAGTCAACTCAAAGACAATGTAACCAATCACTCCTCTCTTATCAAAACTGAAAACAAACTCACTCTGAAAACGGACGCTCACTCCACTCCATCTATCGAAACTGAAAACGAAAACTCTTGTGTGTATCATGTGTGTACTCTGCACTGCTGTAATTAATACAAATTAATCGTCTGTTTAACTAAACAAAATCTTGTCTTCATAAGATATACTTTGGGATTGTGATGACCTGAGGGGCAAAGCCCGAGGACTTTTACTACAGGAATTGGTGAAAGGGGGCGTGTACACAACAAATACTTAATTTTGACACATCTTTTGTAAAAATCCGTCCATTATTAACGGTGGAGTAGTATTTCGTAGAAATCGCCTTCACGTATATATAAGTATATAAGTACAACATATATAAGTATTCGTCATATCTGAAAATATTGTATTCTACAAGTTAAAAAAAAATGTTTCATTACCTACGTATAAATTACTAAATTATTAATTTAATACTAAATATTCTCCTCTAGTTATTACAGGAAAAATTTTGTTTCAATACTTAAAGTTGGCCGATTTGTATGGGATGAACATAAAAATATATGTTTTGTAATAACTTTATATATATTATTTTTCGATACGACGATATATAATTTCTTAATTAACTGGTGCACCCTCTTTGTCACGTAGTTTGCCTAAATTGAGACAGCGTAGGGGTCGGGCCGTGCGGCGCGCGCCGCACCGTGTGAAAGCTCCCATAAGAACCAATGCACCTTCACCGAGTTGTCCGGCGTGGACGCCGCGCGGCGCTGTCATCCGGCTGAAGGTGCATCCGGCGGTAACTCGCCGCGCGGCGCGCGCCGGACATAGTGTGAAAGGACTCATATACTCCCATAGCCCTACGCCGGATCCGGCGGGCGCCGCACGGCGCACGCCGCGTCGTGTGAAAGAGGCGTAAATTGTGTGGAATTTTTTTCATGCAAAGTAAAATGAACATAAAAAACTACCTCACTAACTTAGCCCAAATGTAAACAGAGTTTATTAGACCTATTACTAAAATTGAAATATTATTTGCCAGCCAAAATATAAACAGTGGCACCACAGGATTGTTTATTAATATTAAAAAGCATCTCAATTGTTATAGTTTGTTCAAGTAGGCCTACCAAAGGTAGTTTTAGATGGGACCTGCCTGTGGTTACTGAGTACAAACCTTATTTATTGTACCCATCTCCAACCACCCCTTCGTTATTAGAACAAACTATAATATCTCAATTCCTTTGCAGGTGATTGGATCCTACTCACCTACGCCAGTGGAGATGTCCTTAACCACACGGACCACGGTCATAACAAGTCAATCACCACTTCACTCATGATAACCTGTAACCGGGAGTCTGATCAGGTTAGATTATTTGGATTTTTATGTCCTGCCGCTATCATAGTAGGCTAAAGTCTGACACTGTTTTACTTATTACCTTTGGCACAGAAAAGTAAGACACAGTAGAGGTTACATTCAATGGTAAGCTTAAATGGTGTCTAGGACTAGTCGCTGGTGTCTAGGATAAAGTTCAACACCTCCCCGGCTAGCCCTCATGTACTACAATGCTCACGGTGGAGCAAGACCTTGCGCCCTGTGCGGTAGGAAGTTTCTTGGGCTCTTCCTTACTTGTCTCAAGTATATTTCTCCACAACATAATAGAGCTGGAAGCGCCCGGGTGTCCCTTAATCAAGTTTCCTCTAGTAGGCCTACTCTACTGCTCTGTTATTCTGGCTAGGTAGCCTATAGAGGACATTTTCACTTAGATAAAATCCATTTGTGATTTCTATCTGAATGTTAGGATTTGAATGCAAGACCGTAATAGACCAAAGTGTCGCACTTACCAATAGACCAGCTTGCTTTACAAGTGTTTGTAATATATTCAAGAAAACTTCTTTTGATGGAAAAAAGTCAGGACCTGGATTTTTTCAATATTAATAGTCTCCGAATTACCAATGTAACCATTATAAGTAGTTTGAAAAAACTTGTATTTTTTGTAATCCAAATGGTTGCGGTAGCAACTAGTTTCAGCTAATCACTGGAGCCATAATCAGGCTTTACAAGGACATTGTTGCTACTTCAGAAGGTTGTCACAGTTCACACATCACCAAAAAACATCGAAACATTAAAAACATTGTTTTCGGTTGTAAACATGTTGCGCGGGAATCAATGGACTGACCAAGTGTGGGTAATTATTTCAGTTCTGTTCCAACCAATAACAGAGATACAATACGGTATTTGTATCCAGCGTTTTGTGAGCGTATAGAATCTCAATAACTATCAGCGCTTTCCCTAACACTGTACTAAGTGCTGCCAAATGCAAGGAAATGCTGAAACAGATATTGATTACAGTAGAACCCCTCATATCCGGCCACCACGGGACCAAGCCCCTGACCGGATAACGATTTGGCCGGATAAACCAACCTACTATGAAAATGACAATTCATACCTAATAATAATAGGTAATCAATATATGCAATCAAAAGTATCATTTAATTCTGTTCTGGGATCATTTTTAGAAAAATAAACATGTTTGTAATAAAGGAAAAAAATATTTGTAGGTTAAAGTCATTAAGTAATGAATGTACAAATATTATGATTCCAGGTAACAAAACATATTAAATGGAGGTAAAAATGACAATAAATTGTACTTAAAGATCATTAGGACTTGAATGGTACAGTACTTGCATTTCTACTCAACATTCATAACCATTTTGTGAAATACAAAAATTAATCTACTCGTACTGTACTGTACTAACCCCACTTTGGAAATAATCAACCAACCCCATCAGAGGTTAGGCCTACTAGCTCAACTGAGTATAGAGACTCAGCAAATAAATGTATAAACAGATAAATAGTGAGAACAATTTATTTTGTGACTTGAGCAGTCACAAAGACTAGTGCTTGCATCTAAACGTCTGTAAGCTGTGAGAAAAAAATTTTGATATTGGCTTCCTGGAAGGGGCCGGATAAACAGAGGACCGGTTAAACCAAGGCCGGATATGAGGGGTTCTACTGTATTTTGGTAGATCTGCAAAGGGAGGAAAGCAGCAGCAGCAACAATGATTTAAACACATAATGTCATGGTTTAGGATAGCCTCGATAGACCAATAATTTACCAGACTTTACACTGAAGTGATGAACTTACTGGTTGGATATTTGGTTTTTGCAATATTTGTCTATTCCAATTGATTCGCCCGATGTCCACATTATGGTACAAAAACCGCTGCTTGTGGACTTAATTTGCATTTTTTTGTAACTTATTTGAACAGTTTTGTTAAAGCTTTAAAAGCCTTAAAATAGATTACAAAAAAGAAACCATCACATACTGAGTTGTAAACAATACGTTTGTGGAACATTTAATTCTATATTTCATAATAGGGCTGAAAGTGACTCTTTTTGACCAGATGTAAAGATTTTGCCGAGGTCGGAAAATGAGCGAGGGTTAAAAAGTCACTTTTTGCCCGTGTGGTGAACTATATTTTTCGTCATATTGCATCATTAATTAACAAAAACAAAGCTAGAAAACAAAATTATTTTTATGTAAAGATAACCTCTCAAAACGACTTCCAGCTTTTTTTCAAATCTGCTAATGCAAATAAGCAGCTGTTTAGTAAGTGATTCAATTCATCTATTGCGATTTTGTTACTATACAATCCAAATGTCAAGCAATCGACAACAATAGGCTAAAACCTTACCTACTAAATCAATCGTTAAATAATTCTGATTGATACGATTGCCACAATCAAAATTTACAACTGTTTACAACAGCTGATTTTTACTCCCTAGAGACTAAAAATTATTTTTACTCCCTAGAGACTAAAAATTAGTTTTACTCCCTAGAGACTAAAAATGATTTTTACTCCCTAGAGATTAAAAATGCTACTTTATACTTGCAACGCATGCATTAAAAACTGTTGTTTTTGTTGTAGTATGACGTAAAGATATTTTTAATCTCGAATAGCTTTAATAAATGATATTCCACATATTATAAGTCACAATTTGAATACAAAAAATAGAGAGTTATATATCAGTTAATAAAATTCCTTATTACCTCAGTACCTACAGTTGATGTTTAAAAAAAACAAATAATCAGAGTTTAATGGAAAACCGTTGTAGGAATGTTAGAAGATTTAGTTAATTTTACACACATCTGAATTTATTTACAAACATACACAAAGCTATTTACAAAAGTACACAACTTATCAATAATGTGATCTAAACTTTTATAAGCGTAAAGGCTATCAAATGGCGTTTATACAACTTGTCAACATCTTCCCCTCTTGACAACTATCTGAAACAAACATTACTTGAATCAACTCATACAATTATTTTTTTAAATTGATGTTTTGAAATTATTACTATTACTTAGCAATATACCTTTTACCTGTTAGCAAAATAGTATATTTTTTATCAAGTGGCCTGTGTCAATTTGTTAAAATCTAAAAACTAACATTAAAAAATGTAAAAAAAATTTTTTCAGTTTCGAACGGGACAGGATTTTATTTCCTTCCTGATATTCAGGGTGTGATTTTTCTTCCCTTGCAATAAAGAGCTCATACTAAAGACTTTTACAGCAAATTCAAGAGTTCCTTGTTGCGTGGAGGAAAAAGTTTTGTCCTATTACCATGCAAATTCTTGAAAATTGCAATAATGACCAACTGAATTGATTTTAATCTTCATTTCACAGATTTTTTATATCATTTCTGTAATCCATGATTGTGGTGGCGCTATCGCGCTATTTTTATGGTTCATTTTTAGTTCCTCAATGTTAGTTACAGCTTACTATGTTTTTTTTAATTCCCATTTAATGTATGGAATAACACTTTGGGGTAATAGCTCAGATTCTGAAAAAGCATTTATATGGCAAAAAAAAGCAATTAGGCTAGGATAATGGCAAACATTCCTGATGGAGAGTCATGTGTTCCACATTTTAAAGAATTCCAAATAATGACTCTTCCGTGTTTGTATGTATATTTTAGCTTAGTTAGTGTTAAGGGAAACTTAAATAGCTATAGTTTTAGAAGTGAATTTCACAAATATAATACTAGACGGAACTATTTACTTGATTGCATATCTATAAAACTAGAAAAATCTAAAAAAAGCCATTTGTTTATGAAAGTCAAGCTTTTTAACAAGCTGCCAAAAGAAGCCTGGACTGTGAACCTAAGCAGATTCAAAATAACTCTGTCAAAGTGGTTAAAAGAAAATGTTTTTTATTCTGTTAACGAATTTTTGGCCTGTGATATTAGTACATTAAGATTTTAACTTAATTAGATAGTGATTTTGTACTTGTAGCTGTTTTTTCAGTGTCTATATCTATATGTCTGTTTTGATTTATTATTTTATATTTGTCCATATTGCACATTTGATGTCTTATAATACTGTATTTGACTTTGTCTATTGCCATGTGCTTAACGACAATAAAATTCTTGATTCTTGATTCTATCATTATTATGATGATCGCAAGGACAACGCCATCATCATCCACCATTGCAGAGAAATCTTGTATATCTCTGAAGATCACGGCAAATGCTTAAAGATCCCCCGCAATCGTGGAGACCATTTTTTCCTAAATCGTAAACGTCTCCCAAGATCATGAATATATTGTCATTGTCACTTGTGATCACGGTGAAATCAATGACAGTCAGAATAAAGCCAATCCCAAGAAAATCAGGGATTAAATGTAATCCCGCAGGTAGATTAAGAATATATATTTTCCCGAATTTTTGGAACCTGTCCATCTTTAGTACATAGCCAGGGAATTTTGTGGAAGGTAACCAAAAACAAAAGCGAATACATGTACAGGGATGTGAAGAGTACAGATTTTACAATCAACAAGCCTCGGTGGTTTTGGTAGAATGTACACCTAGAATGTCTATTTTTACCTTTCTGGGATCACTGCAAGGCTATACTAAGTACTGTGTATTCAGGATACTAATTTATAGATTTTCCATCTTTACAAAACGTTAAAAGCTTACCTGCTAACTGATTAGTTTATAATGAAATATTATCTAGCGGGTTGATCACAGTGAAATCTGTAAAAAAGATAGAGATTACTTTTTGTACAATAATTATAACATTTTAGGACCATATTCAGAAACTATTAGGCTCCCGGCAGCTCACACCAGAGAGCTCCAATCTGATACCTCGGTGGCTGGAACATTCACGAGGTTTTGATTCAACTCGATGAACTTGACCCTTGATTTTTGGCAATCTGCTCAGCAAATAGACCTAGGAGGCTTGGAGACTAGCTAAAAAATTAAATAGCCTATATTGTTTTTCAATTAATTGTACTAGTAGTGGTCTACAGGGCAGACAAGTTTACTTCAGGTCTAGGGTAGGGTTCGGGTTGCTTTGGATAATATTATTTACATAGGCCTATACTAGAATTGGTTCATGAACACTTCAAACACTTTAGAAAAAAACTCGAACAAAAAAAATTCAAAATGAACATAATAATTGAAAATGACATTAATAGGTTGTGGATAAAATACAAAAATTTTCTCAATACTTTATAAATCCAAACAGAAAATTTTAAGTAGGCTATTGTTTTATTGTAAATTTACTTACGTGGAGTTAGGCCCTTCCCTGCTAATGCAATCGTAAGGTTCACAGCAGTCTGAACTGTGTAAGCACTGAAAAATTACAAAACCATTTGACAATGTAGCTGAAAAGTCATGTCTTGTAAATTAGCCAAACATTGCCTGTTTCATTTTATCACTGTCACATAGCTTGCTTATGTGATTCATACCCTAAGGTTGTTTAATTCTAGTTTGATCGTAGGAGAAGTAGATTGACTTGCCGTTTAGAATGAAAAAGAAAAATTACATTATTAGGTTACCAACAAAGTGCAGAAATGAAATAGTCAATGTATTTTTCCTTTAAATTTTGGGATGAGCCTCTCACTTCTATGGGGTGTAAAATTATAGACTAGAACAAAAACCAATGTAACTGAAATGGCTACCAATTGTAAATTATAGCATCTTTAATGTCTTCAACAATTATGGTGAAAATTAAAAGAGAAAAATAAAATTTCAACAATAGCACAGTCTGCAAGAGTTGCATTCAACTATTTCATCTTTGATTAATAAACAGTTAAAGCAATGTTTTCTTTCAGCACTGAGATAGGCCTAACTTTGTAGTTGTACAATTCAAAATAATCGCTATTTTCACTCATTTTAGTATTTAGTATTTTCATCAAAATGGTGATATTCCTTTTTTAATAGGCTTGGCTGTTGCTGTTGGTTATGGTTATGCAAATTTAAATAAAAAAAACATAATTATATTGTTGCTAAAGAACTGTTAACACTGAACTTGTCTCTTACCTGTTCATAACGACTCAGGCAGACTGGACCTACTACTTCGATGGTTTGGTCGTTGTCCAGCAGAATCGACTCAGTAGAATTAACATTCTCTATTACTGATAACTCAGTTACTTCTGGGAAAGTTGAGAATGAGGAATCGTCATCATCGTCGGAAAGAATTGTAAAGTTTATGCTTCTCTTTTCTCTTTTAATTTGCAAGTTGTCTGCGACGTTTGTCTGGGATACGTTAAAGCCTTGGGATTGGAAGATGTTGCTACTGTTTACGTTTTGATTTAAAATACTTGCCAATATGTTCGGATCTTCACCCATTATATTTGTCATATTCATAGTGATATTGTAGAGGTTTTTAAAATCATTTTCCAATTCTGTTGTGTTTATTGTAATGTTCTCAAATTTATCGGTTTGATTTGAAAGTAAATTAAGTAAATTTTCTGTGTAGTTGTCCAATTTGTTCAACATCGATGCTGGAATTAATGTTTCGGCCATATTTTCAATCAAGCGAGTTGAATTGACAAGAATATTTGCTAGATTAGTCACATTTGTTTGGTCATTAATATACTCGTTGATTGCGGTAGAGTTCTCTGTATTTGCTTGTTCAGTTTCATTTAGGCCTAGTTCATTTGTGGCATTTGGAAAGTATTTTTGTTCAATAGCCATACAAACTGAACAATTAGTTGCAGTTGACTCTTCCACAAAAGTTTCTTCAGTTTTATTTTGTATTGCCGAAAGAGCACTAGAGTTCAATTTTGAAACTAAATCTTCTAAATCCAATTTAGCATTCGTTTGTTTAGATATTTCCTGTTTGTAAATTGTAGTGTTTTCATTTCTTTCATCACTAGAGGATTCTCCTACTTTAACTGTTCCGTTTCCATTATCGACAAAACCTGTGATATTCAAATCATTTTTGGAATCACTAAAACCAGTTTGATTACTTCCTGTCTCATTTGAAAGCACTTCTTTAACTTCGTCTGGCATTACAGTAACATTCATCTTTAAATCAGACAAATTCTCTGATTTAGCTGTAAACACAGTAGCACGCGATGCTGACGGTTTATTCCCTGTTTTCAACATGATGTTTATTTCTACGTTTTTTGTTTGACGTTTCGATCGTACGTCATCTGATTGATTTTCTTCATTTGTCAAAAGATTTTCTGTGTTGGAAGTAGTTGTGTTCTGATCAATTTCTTGATATTCGAAATCACCCTGGTTTTCAGTGTTGTTTGTTGCTGTACTATTCCAATTCTGTTCGTCATAGTAGACAGTGTTTGTTTCTACATTATAAGTTTCGTTCCCGAACTTCTGGTTGAATTCTGAAATCTCAGAGTCCATGTTTAGTGTACCATTTAGATCAGAGTTGTCAAATATTTCAGTACTTCTTACGTTGTCAGTTTCATCCAGAGAACTATTATATAAAGTTTTGCTGGTGCAGACTCCATCCTGAAATATGACAAATTGAATTACTAAATGAAATAAAATTGACTATTTTTTTTTAATAAAGAAATATTTTACAAGATAAAAATAACTTTAATGATGAATTGTAATGATTGTATTGATTTCCTCACGACACAAAACAAAATGTTTTTTTCTGATTAAATAAATGTATCATTATTGTGGCTTGATCACACTTTTATTAATTCTATGCAGAAATTGCTTTTATTCTGACATAAAAGATTGATAGTGATCCATCCTGGTCATTAACAAATAAGTACACTTGAAAATATCAATTGTCAAAAGTGCAAGAAAATTAAATAGCCTTTCGTTCAATATTTTTGTAGCCATCTTTTAATTTTGTACATCCCAAAGCTTTGACTATAAACAAACAACAAAATAAAAATACAAATAAAATAAATATTTACCTGACTGGATCCAGAACACTGAACAGGTTCTTCAATCGATTCTGTTGAGTTTCCTGAAGAAAATATCCTATTCTTGAGGTCTCTGAAGAAGTCAAACGGAGAATTTGAACTTGCTTCTCGCAACAGAACAGTTACGCTTAAAATAAAAAGCACTCGATGCAACGAAGACATAATGGACACTGGAAATGTGTCTTGTGAAATCAATATCAGATGAGTAGATTGCTCGGATCATTCTCAAATTACGTAATGTCATCATTGACGTAATCTCTTGTGTTTAACATGGAGTTGTGTCTGATAACGGTTGCATTTAGTAGCTGTTGTTGATCTAAAGATTTGCATTTTAATAATATCAAGCATTCATAGATTCATGTATAGGAATTTTCAGATTATGTGATGAATGAAGGTTTAATTATTGGTTTTGGATGTTGCCAGAGGGTTTATCATTCTATTGTCAAATTTTGAAGATTTATTTTTCCATTACTCTACACACGAAATAGTGTAAACGTAAAATGAGCTAAGAAAATAGGTTATTCCCACTACTGCACGGCAAAGATACATAACGTTAACTTTCTATGCATTTGTGGTGCACGGAAAGTAATCGTTTTGGGATTTTGCAATGCAGACTGATCAGCTGTTGCATAATGTGAGTTTCCGTGCATATGTACCTCGACATAAGCTCAGCGTTATAAGTTAAGGATTTTTTTCTTGATACTAAGTTGAATAAACAAAAATATTCATGTAGTTTACAAGTTTTTTAACATCGTAATGAAAAATAATGTCCAATACTCGTTTCAAAAGAACCATTTTATCAGCTAATTTTACCAAGAGTTATATTAAAATCCCTATCATTAGAGTTAGATAATTTTTTTGCCATCAAAAATAAATTTTTTTTTGTTTTAACTTGTGGTCCTTTATTTAGTATGTTATCGTCCTTTTAACTCTAAAGAAATTACAACCAACCCCAATGCTGTAATAGTTAAGGTTCTACAATTTTTTATTTTACCTATCAAATATCATAGTTACTCTCACCGCTTATCCACTATAAGGGTTTTTGACAAGCTAATGGGAGAAAGTATGTGTCAGTTTGCTGATACCGTCATTTAGAGAGTGTTTGTTCTATTAACGTTTTGGCAGAAGAATTACATTAATTTACCCATGCCCGCTTAAATGTTAGCTAGCTTACACCATATTGATAGGAATCAATAAATTAGTCATCAAGCAAATGACGCATTGAATCATGTTCTTTACAAGTTAGTGTAATTATGGAATATTGTCACAAGGTTCTATTTCTAATCTGATAAATGACTCAGAGAAGTTTGCCATGATGCTCTTATCGATTTTTTAAAATTTATTCGGTAAAAAGAAAAATGTTGCTCTTTTATCTGGTGAACATGGGCTTCAGACCTATGATTTTATGTGTGAATGTTCACATAATTCTACACTCATCCTTCACTCATAGGGTTAAAATATGCACCTAGGTGGCATCTTCATCTCAATCTTTTATAAAAAATTGAATTGAAAAAGATCACTGATCCTCAACCTGTGATACGTTTACAACTGGTATGCAGGGGCTACTGCGTTGGTACTTGGCAGGGTTGCCAACCGTCCCAATTCTGTAGGGAAGGTCCCGACAGGTTAGATATTCTATCCATAATTGCCTCCAGATGATTTAGTTTTGTCTTGTGAATTCGTACGACAGAAAAAATAGACAGTGAACATTGCACCAGGATATAATTGTAATCTACTTCAAAGAAACGTATCAGCTATTGATCATCTTTGATTATCTCCTATTCTATTACTTGTACATCATTTTCACATTTTGAACCGTTTCACAGTATAAGACCGTTATTCATACAGTAGATTTTACATCTAACTAACTTTTACAGGGATTATTCTTTGTTTGATGTTTGTGTGGCCGTTGTTTGCAGACTTTGTTCTTACTGGAGGATGATGACATAGAAGGAGATTGTCAAGTAACTTTCAGCCTAAGGACCTCGGTAGTTTGCCCTAACAATCCTAAAGGACTGAGTGGAGGTTCCGTCTTCTGTGTTTTGTAAGTTTTGTTAATTATTTGTAATGTGTATCCTACTTGTAAACGTTTATATTATTGAGTAAAACTACACATTTTGTTTGTATGGGTTAGTAAGTTTATGGAACCGGAATAGAAACTTTTAAAAGTTGTATTATTTATCAAGAGATACTTTTCAAAAATATATTAAATTAAGTTTTTACTCTAGTATTTTGATTTTCTGTATCCTTCTCACTGTATTAAGCTAGTAGAAATCATTTGCAGAAGGTTAAAGTACTTTTTAACAATAAATTTCTAAAATGCAGATCGTAAATTAATTACAGCCCCTATGAAGCAGCACTGCTTGTCTTAATTAAACATTGTGTAAATAAATTTTTAAATTATGAACAAATGCAGGATGTCTACCAGTCACCGAAATGACAAAAAATGATTTTACAAGGGGGTCATTGAAAAGTAACAGAATTTTCATTTTAATGACCCAAAAGTCATGGCAAAATCGGGCCTAACCAAAATAAAATTCTTAAAACCTGTCATTTGCAGAAAGAAGACAACGATTTAAATGAAGTAGAATTATTGAGAATTAATATATTTTGAGGCAGGCAACCACCTCTAATCGTTACAACAGAAATCGTGTATGCCCACGCGATTTTTTCCTCTTGCATAGTCAATCCATGGATGCTGGCAACGTAACCCCCCTCCCCCCCAAGGTCACTGACAAAGTGACAGAAATCGAGTTTGATCAACTAATAGACACCCTGGAAATAGTTCACAATCATTATTTTATTTTTAATTCCTTAGAACTGTTTTAAATGCTTTTCTTCCAATTTATTGTACATGCTTTTTTTACCCATCTTCTATAAAACATTGTGTAAGTTGCTCAATTATTGGAATAATGTTCAAAAGATCGTCTGTCCATTACAAGTGTTTATAAGAAATCTGGTTGTTATTGCTAGCTAATAGTTTATGTAACTGCTATGTTTTGCGCAGGCTGCTCACTGGCGCAATGATGTACCTGATTATCGGGGTCGCATATCGGCGCATCATGACTGGAGCACAAGGACTTGAGCAGATACCCAACTATCACTTCTGGCGCAACCTGGGCAACTTACAAGCGGTTAGTAAAACCATTGAATTTAGATACAAGTAGAGTTCTCATTATTTAAATCGGAAGTATGTTTTTGCATGTGTTTTATTTTTGGTTCGGATACAGTACATTCTCTCTGACTCTAACAGGACCAGGCTTAGGTTAATTAACCTAAAAGGTTGATTCTATTTGGTTACTGCAATAAGGATGGGAACGGAAGTCTAGGTTAAGATCTAACCAAACAGTTTTTAAATCGAGGGCTTATAAAGTTACCTCTATTTGAACAGCAGTTGTTCCAGAGTCTGTTTACAGAAGATCCACTATTAATTTTGTAGTGTGTCCTTTGTATTTGTGTTTAAAATCAGAAGAAAAGTAGTAGTATACAATTACATCGTTCAGTTCGTGCTCGGTAATTTTTTTGTCAGTGAAATAACCAATGAAGAGAAGACTTTGGATACTGTAGTGGTTACTACCACAAAGGATAATATCTGTAGAAGATTTCAAAGGTTATCAAGTGATTGTAAAGTAAACTAGAATCTTGCTAGGTCTTCTATTGGTCTCTTCTTTTTTGGTTTACCTATTAGTTTTATTTTCAAAATCCTGTTTTAAAAAATGTTTCTAGAGTACCTTCTAGGTTATATTAAGGAAGAATGTCGGACACATTTTTTTCGAGCCTGATGTTTGCAGGATGGTTGTGACTTTGTGTGCCGCAAGGGCGCAGGGCGAGACGAACCGTGGAATCGTATTACGAGCAACTTCAACGACCCAGCAGACGAGCCGTTATTGCACCCTTAAAACATTCTGACTTTCAATAAGATGTGGCGTTAGCCGTTTCCCAACTAAAAATACCTAAATACTTCATAACCTTGACCAATAGTTTACTCAATGTATATATTATTTCATCTTCTCAAGTTCTCAAGTCGTCGAACTGTTGGAACAAATCAAATGGTTGTTAATTTTAATAAACCGTATTTTTCTTTTATTTTTATATTATTTCCAGGTTTAGTGTAGATTTTAGTTAAGGTTACGTTCATAGTTTTTATGAAAAATTACTTTTTTTTAAATTGGTTTTTCACAAATTACAATGGGTAAACAATATTTAAATCGACTAGTCTTAAATAACATCAAAGGTTGTAGAAACGTTGCATTGACAAGTTTCTTTTATATTACCGATATTGTGAAATGTGATAAACTTTAAAAGTTTCTTGCAAAAATATTTGGTCTTGTAACCATTTATGTTTGCCAAACATAATATGTAAGCCGTATTGTACAGTTTTCCACTATATCTTCAAGCATTTCTGTCTGTTTTGAGTTCCTGTAGTTTATGTTTATATTGCTGTAAACATAAGGCATAAGTCTGGTTTTCTGTGATCTATGATTGATTTATTTATAAGCTTTTTGCTTAACTGTGATTTAAGTTTTAAGTTATATCTAAATAAACCTTATTTTTAATTTAATCAGTGTGTTATTTTATCCTTCACACAAAAAGATAGTTTCAAATGGAGTAAAATGGTATGGAGTAAAATGTTATAGTTATCATTGTACAGTTAACAAGTGTTTGGATTTTGTTGCAAATAGTTAAAAAAAGAATGCAGCATTTAAAGAAAAAGAAAGGTGATGTGATGTACATACAAAATTTAAAATAGTTTTTAAGTTAAACGCTAACCTACGCAAATTATTGCAATAATAAACTTGAAACATTCTAACATTATTGAGTCATAATTTAGTTTTACATTTATACACTTATTCATAATGGGTTTTATTGAAAAAACAAACAAAACTAATCATTTACAAAATAAGTGCAAACTATATTATTACTCTCCACCTTCATTGCCACACAGGTTTACTTCAAATCTCTTCATCAGGTTTTCCAATGTCTGTACTCAACTCTTCATTATCGTCATCTTCCACTTGATCTTTCTCTTCCTCTTCAACCAAAACCTCTGCTGCACTTACTATCCTTTCAACTTCACTGTCACCGTCAACTGAGTCAGCAAGCAAATCTTCCGAAGAGGATTCCTCGAACCTGACTTTCACTCCCTGAGAAACACCTTGTTTTTGAGTAGTGTACGTTCTCTTTTCCTTGACAGTGTTTGTCTTCTTCGGCTGTCGTATGTAGTCTAACTCTTGCTGTAGATTATCGACAAGTGAAGAGGTTTCGTCAAGATCTTCAAATTCTCCACTGAAATCAGAATCTTCTTGCGGTGACTGCATGCCAGGTACTGTTAGGTGTTCAGAATCTTTTTCAGCAGTCACAGCCGAAGACATCTCAGCTCCTAACGATTCTTGTGATTTTCTAGATTTTGAAAACAGCGAAGGTATAGTCTTCACTCCCAACGAAGATCGGCTCTCCAAAGTCAACAAAGCGGTGTCCAAATCCGCAGCAAAAGTTTCTTCTGGAATATTTTCAATGCCGATTTCAGTTATCATTTCTAAACTGCTCAAGACCTTGCCTTCCTCAAAGATTTGAGGCAACTCTTCATCCTCAACGTCAGGCTCTGAAAGTTCTCCCAAGAATGAACCATCGATGTCATCCACCGAAGTCAACCGGAACTTGCGATCCATAAATCTTCTACAGGGTATGTGTTTGTCCCAGTAGATGTTATAGTCGTCCCCATATGTATGTTGCAGCCACGCCAAGTTTTCTTGTCTCCTTCTGATTTTCCTCTTGGGATATCGAGCCATGTGGCTTTTTCTGACGTGAACTTTCCTTCCTTCTTTTAACAGTTCTTCTCTAAGCTTTTTCCTCAACCATCTGAAAAAATGAGTTACTTAGTTATGGAGTAGACTCTATTACCTCAAAATGCCACTTTATAAATTAATTACCAGTGTTGTTTGTGACCATATAGCCTATTCATAACCACCCAAAACCACATTTTCTCATAAACAATTAAGATTACTTTCCCTTACCTCTTTTAACTCTGTGCAGCCAAAAAGATGGTCTTTAGTGTCCTCAGACTGCCCTAACTTTCTAAATACTATTTTTATCATTACATAACAGATTTTAAATTTCGGTAGTTCTTTCCAGAGGTAACTATGGTCTAATCTGTAAGCTGTGTTGCCTATCAAAATTTTTTATTCATGTTTGAATCACTTATTGAAACAGTTCCTTTCAGTTTTCCTATAATAAAATGTAATAAGATTATATTCTCTAACTTTACTACCCTATTACTTCAAAAACGATTTCATACCTCAAAGTTTTACTTCTTTTACGACGTCTATCGTTAAAGAGCATCCTCAATGCGTTGTACTTCTCCAGCAGTTCCGACCATTCAAACTCAAACTGCCAAGGGCTTCTTTCTACGAACTCTGCTTGTTCTGCCGCTAGCTGATCAAAATTGTCCCCAAAATAGTAATCCACAAGTTTCGAGACCTGTTCACTAAGCGTATCTTGTTCTTCAGATTTAACTTCGATAACCTGTAAATAAAATTAGAGCCGACGAAACAATAATTAGACCAGTACTTTTATACGAAGGGGAAAGTTGGATCCTGAGCAAAAACACGGATAAGAGGATTATAACCTGTGAGAATAAAGTTCTAAGAGCTATATATTGGTCTGGTGTGTGAAGATGGAGAATGGAGAATCCGCCACAACCAAGAGTTAAGAGAATCATTCAGAGACCCTGATTTTGTGGGAGAGGCCAAAAGCAGAAGGCTAAGGCGAGTTGGCCATATTTTAAGGAGAAATGGGGAGAGCTTGAAGAAGGTACGGAGGGGAGAGCTTGAAGAAGGTACGGAGGGGAGATCCGAAGCGAAGGAGACCAGTAGGAAGACCAAAGGCCAGGTGATAGGATGAAGTCCAGAAAGATATTGAAAAAATGAGAACTAGTAGAGGATGATTTGGAGGACCGAGAGAACTTGCAACGTGTTTGCTAGGCCAAGGACCAGCTTGGGTACAAGTCACGGCAGTAAGTAACCTGTAAATAAGTGATAAATGTTTAAGCAAAAGTAAAATTAGAAAACTTTTTAGTGTGGTCAATAGGATTTTTTAAACCCTGCTCCGCATGGGCCTTTGACACAGCACTTGGAAAGTATCAGGAAAAGCAAAAGGTGGGCAAATACAAGAATGACCAGTAAAAAAAAACCGAAAAGAAAGCTAATTCTAACAACTCCCATGAATTTATGGTCCGTCGTTCTACCGTCCTCGTCACCGACTCACCAATTATCGCTTCGTTATTACATTGCCTTTGAATACTCAACAACAGGATCAGATAACTTTTCAACGTCAGACATTATCATTGGAGATAAATAATTTACAAAGTAAATTGTCAACAAAACTACTTCACTACAAAATCACTATATTTGGCACTCAACTATCTATTTCAAACCTCTATTACCTTGGAAGCTTTAGGAAAGATAAGTTCAACGGTTTGTTTAAAGATTGTGTCAGCCTGCTTAAGCTTCTCTTGAGCCTTTGCGTGTTTTAGAGCTTCATTCTTCTCCTCTCGAACAATCGGTCTCATAAGAAGCTCCATTTCAGCTCGGTCGATCTTCTTTTTGGCCATTACCATCTGAAATATTGATTAATCATTAGAAAGTTCAGTTTTTTTCCAAATTAGATGTAAAATTTGTTTTTTATTTCTTAGAAAAATAGCTGTAGCGAGTACAACGAAGTATACAATCTTCACCAAAACTCCCTCCACCCGTTCTGCACATTTTGAACCATCAAACTTTGTCTTCATACACATCAATCAACTAGCAATGAACTTTGATGGTAGTGACCCCATGTACCAGAAAAGTCTAAACATAGGAATTATGATAGGCAAGTGTGTCAATATCTTATTCCTTCTTTTGTTCATGTCTACTGCTTCGCGATTAAAGCTTGTTAGGGTCTTTAATGTAAGGTGACGGCACTGTAAATGCAAATAAGAATGTTGTGTTGTACAACTTACAATGGAATTAGTTTACAAACCTCATGCATATGTTCTTCTTGTTTCTCTCTCCATTTGTCATCGGCCTCTTCAACTCTCATGAACGCTTTTCCTCTTCTCCTCATATACCACCTGCAAACATATGACAAATTTTGATAGATTATTCTAACTATGAGAATTTTCATTAGGGAGTGCAAATCATCTATGATTTTTTTAAAGTCTACAATTGGATTTGATACCTTGATGCAAAAAACATGATGATGGTTGAACTTTGAACTAGTATTCCAATAGTGAAGTTCCTAACATACATTTCCATTCTAAAAACTTATCCGGCTTAAGGTGAAGGTTGCCTGGGTTCCCACACCTCTTTGTTTAGCAATGCATTAATCAGCTGTCAGCTGTTTCAAAGTTAGGATGAGGTGTAGGGGATGAAATCACTTCTCCTCCAACCGCCTAATATTGTGAATGGAGTATAGTATTGTAGTATTGTATGCATGTTTACGAGCAACAACTACTCAACATATATTTAACGTAAAAATGAACTTGAAACATATAAAAAATCTTTGTTTAATGTCCGTTTGTTGACTTACTTGTAGACTTCTTCATTGTATTTCTTCCTAGCCTCTTCCTGTTTCTCCTTTTCAAGTCTCACTTCTTCGTCAAGTTTCTTTTGCTCCTCGGCCTGTTTTCTCTCTTCTCGATCCAAGTTCACATTGTTTTCCCTCCACCACTTTGACCATTCTTTCATTTTCTTTCTCCTCTCGGGTTCACGGCTGATGAATTTTGTGAGTCTATCGAGCTAAAGAAAGCATTATGTTGGTCGTTTTGTTAGCTGTTGTAATGATATAAATATGGACGATTTAGCAACCAAATGTAATTTAAATTATCTATGGTTAAGTGGTCTGTCAGTTAATTAAAATCTAATTGCAGGTAAATAATTATTTGTGGAGACATTGGTTCTGTTGTTGAAAAGCGTTACCTAGCTCTTTATTCCAAGTTGGTTACCTACAAGACTTAATTACTAACGTTAGTAAGCAAAAACCTTAACCATTATTGTCTGAGTTTCGACCCTAAAGTTTGATCAACTCCATAGACTGTTTCTGGATCTGACTCCGTTAAAATTTCTGGATGTTCCATCTTTTTACATTTTTACATTTTTTTACATTTTTACACAACAACACAAATGAGACAACTACAACCCCTTCGACCCTGTATTTTCACTCTGTTAACTTACAAGAAAAGTTGAAACATGATAGGCTTTACAGTAGAAAAGTGTACTTGCAGTATCCAAAGTCAACAATACCGTCGATACCATGCTGACTTCTTCACTAACACACTATTATACCAAAATAACCCTCATACTTGACAAAAACTTACCTCATTTTCTGTCCACATTCTGAACTGTTGAGGGATGTAGAAGAGACAGAAAGCAGAATTGTAATCAGCCACTCCTAGCAGTCCTCTTACTTCAGGCAGTAGGGGTGGTGAAATGTCTGCAATTCATACAACATATTTAAGTTGATCATTTACAGTAACTGCTATCAAACCCATAAAGCAATGTTTACTAATTTAAATCAACCCTTGAGAAAAACTCAGGATTAAAACTAACTCTGTGAGTTTTTAGACATACATCAACAAAATAAAATATCCAAACATTAACCTTCACACATCTGGGTTGAAAACGCTGTCAGTAACAGGGTGTATAGTGAAAAGTACTATGATATTTGTGTGGGGAAGCCTGCTATCCTATCAAAAATCCCAAACTAACATCCAACTAATTTCTCTTTTATTGCTTCAATTTAAACATGGGAATTCATCTCATTCATTGAATCCTTTTCTTTGGGAGATCATCTAATCAAATCCTTTATTGTCATTTGGCATAACAATCATGCAATAGATCAATATAAAACGTATTATGGTAACTAAAGGCTACACAGTAATCCAGTAAAGACTAGATTAATAAAATAATATTACAGACATTCAAAAGACAACAATTCATCTTCACCGGTTCAAAAACATGGTCATATCCAGAAGACCAATTTTCAACAATGTACTTTAACCATGAACTCCTATCATCAAAATTAGAATTAGAAGTCTAATTCTGTTACAATCTAAGCTCAAAAACAAATTAAGATTAAAATTTAAGACAGCGTAAGAAGGACACTAACTCCGATGACTACATACTTGTGATCACCCGGCCAGAGACTACGATGGTGGTCGCAGGAGCGTGATTCTGTATGATCAAGTCCCAAATCTCCACAACTCCGTCACTCCGGGCGATCCTCATCAGGGATGGTCTGAGTGAGGACCATGATCCGTCCGTGATGTAAACGTCATAATATCGCTTCACCAATATGGGTTCTTCCTGAAAACAAATGTCAATTAACGTAGTAATATTTGAAACTTGTGTACTGAGCTATTATTTAACATGATATACTTGAAATGTTCTTTGGTAGAGCAGTTTGGATGAATTTTACATAGGCCTCCACGTGGAAGGCTAGTGTATTGCCAAATAAAGCACCATTGACCCTTGAAAGGCTAGCAGTACCAAGTAAAAAACACATGTTGGGAGCTATCACATAATTTCTTACACACTGTTTCACCAACCTTATTTTTAAATTTGGGGTCGTTTAACTAATCACTTAATACATTGATCTCAATCAAGTCAATGATGACATTCTTAAATGGCTGTGGAACAATGCCATACTATTGTGGGTGTCTCATGGTAAGACCTAGATCCTGAATTTTATTTTTCATTTTTATGACCACAGAGGTCAAAAACACCATCCAAATTCATACATAGACAAATAAAAACCTATCACAAATTTTCACGTCAAATTTTTCATCAGTGGAAATGCAATTGGCTGGCTTACATACAACGTATCAATCTTAAACTAGGCACACTTACCTTATTCTCGATGTGCCAGATGGCAAACACATGTCCTCCGACAGTTAGACACACTGAAGGAATGAATGGATGCTTGGATAGTCGAGTGATGGGTCTGTCATGGTAAGAATCCCAGTAGTGGTACACGTTCATGACACCTAGAAAAGTTTTAGCATCATTGATGTTTAAAGTAGTGTTAGTTGTGTCTTTTGTGAGAAGCGATTGATATCTTTTGAAAATAAAACAGTAGGTCTCGCCTGAGTAAAGGAGTAAGAAGGATTGAATAATAAGGACAAAACAGGAAGTAAGAGAATAGTTTAAGGAAGCAGATGTTTATGAGAAGAAAATATCAATAGATTATATTGACAGAGTGTGACAATGCAAGAGAGGAGAAGTCGTTAATGAAAACAATAACTACTGGAGGACTCCCAGCAGGATTATGACGTTTGGCACCAAGACAATGATTGAGAATGTTGAGAGGAAAATGAAGAATATAGAAATAGATGATGAAGAAAGTCTGAGGTGGAGGAAAACTATTGACAAGGCCAATCAAATTTTAGTTTGTGTCTGAGGTAGAGGTAATGTATTAAACTGGAAGTACTCGTTCAAAATTGGATAACTTCCCCTTAAAAATGTTCTTTGCGAAAAAATGTTCTTATTTTAAATTATGGGCCCAGATACATATACATGGAGTGTGAATGCAAAGCTCAGGATTCCTGAGACAGGGATGTTTTCTCTGGCAGCTGGCTGAAACTGTAATATTATATGTATGCTTGAAAGGAGTGCTTGATTCTAAACCAACAACAACTAAAACTACTCAGAGCTACACTTCCCCACCATCCTCTAATTCCCTCTCCGATTTTAATAATTTGTCACTTGCAAGCCAAAGAAGGTAAGTACAAATCATATTATATGTACTTACGCCCCTTATGTGTCTTGCAGGCGTCGAATTGTAAAGCTTAACACAAAAAGAATCACTTAAACAATTTGTAGAGTCATTATGTTCATGAATATGAACTGCTTGGAATTTCTTTTGAAATTCGTTGGAGAGAGATCCCTACCAAATTGAGCCCTTGTCCTAAACATTGAAATATACTGCCTTGAGATATTATATACCACTTACTGTCCATATTTTCAGGTGTTTTAGCCTGTGTCGGTTCCCATACAACAGTGCCTGCTTGCCCAAACAAATTGCACACATACATTGCATGAGGAATATCGTCCACCTCCGGGTAAACTGAAAAAATCCAACAGTTCATTAGATGTAGGACAAGATTTTTTTTCCTTCTTACAAAAATTCTTTAGACAAGTTTTAATCACATAATATTTTTACAACAATGAACATTGTTGTAACAGGACATTTTTTTAGATCCCTATTTCACTGATAAACTATGGACTATTTTGTGGGTTTGCAACATTTCCAGAGGCCTTTTCAGTTATGCTTTCCTCAGCCTTACGTACCTAGAAGGAATCTCGTCCATCTTTCTAACCTATCAACTCACATTAGGAGTTAGGCAAAGAATTGCATGGTAACGTTTCAAATTAGAGAGTCAAATATTCAGACAAATTTGGCCCAAGATCTGTATGAAGAAATCATTCAAAAGAATCAGATATCAAAAATATTTTGATTTCACTTATTAATATAACTAGATGTGAGAAGCAAATTTACATGAGTCAAGAAATGGGAGTTTGCAGATGAGAGTGATAATATTTAGACTGACTTGATTTTAATTTATATGAGATATCACATATCACATACAAGAAGTAACTATACTACATCACAAAGAGTTAGCATTTTACTCGATGCTTGTCATGTTTTAGAAACCCAACTTGCATGACTGACCCGATTGAAAATTGGGGTATGTTTCTTCACTCTAAACTCTGTACTTCTCATAATAATTTTCAGATGTATTTTTTACACTTATTATTACTACAAAACTATCAATACTATATTAAAAAAATAATAACAATACTCATAAGCAACATTACCTGCTTTATATTCTATCCGGTCCTCCAGCATTTCCTTAACGCCCGGCTGTCTAGGTGTAACTCTGACGTATTTCCCTGGAAGTGCCGCCGCAGCTTGGTTGAACCCTGTTAGCAGCACTGGCATGCTCTTGTACATTATTGTCATCTGTAACCAACAAGTTGACTTTCTAACTCTTCTTGATCACCTACTATACTTTTTATTTGTCCTAGGATGCTAGGCATGAGTACGGAATTGTTTTTTTTTTTTCACATTACTTCAGGCTGGACCTAGGGGTTGCGGCATTATCACATAGATAAAATCCATTGGTGATTTGGTGGGATTCGAACCCAGGACCTCTGGAACCAAAGTCCCGCGCCCTATCCAATAGACCAGCTCGCTCACCACCTACTTTACCTACTTTACTACAGCATATATGTGGATCTTTATATCTTGTATGATTTCATCTATTTGTTTCATTGTAACCTTTAAATTACAAAGTAATGACCCATGTAAAAGACAATGTTTACAAAGATGTAAAAAGTCTAATTATGACTAATAATAAAGTTACTTACTTTACATATTGGTTTCCAAAAACGGTTCAGTTTGTAATAGGGGGACAAACCCATGTCCAATGAGGCTGGACGGCCAAACCTTTCTTTCGTTTTGAAAATCTGCGGCACTTTCCTATGGTCTCCTTTTCCAGGCTCGGTTTTCAGGTCCCAAACGTGCAAGTTGCCGAAAACGCTGCAGGTAATTAACTGCAGGGAGTCGGTGGATGGGTTCTTTAAAATTTCCAAATTATCTGTAACCTGTAAAAATTTGGTATGGTTATAGTTTTAACAACCTTACATGGTTTTCAGTTTGTAAGATTTACTATATGGAGGCTAACTTTGTTTTATTTAAAAGCTGCTCCGTTTATAGTGTTTACAGAATAGTATACATAATAAATTATGCAAACTGTTTTTTTCCCCTAGAACGCCAGGCACTAGACCAAGATGGTTTTTTACATAGCTTCAAGACCTAGGGGTTGTGGAATTATCACTTCGATGAAATCCAATAGTAACCAATAGATTTGAACCCAGGACCACATAGACCAAAGTTGTGCGCTCTAGACCAGCTGGCTCCCCCATGCAAAAAGGTTAAGTTATTCTCTTACCACAGTGGTGGGGGTGACCCAAGCTAGGTCGGAAATCTTCTCCAAGTGGGAATCATTTTGACTGCTGATGGCTGTGAAACGAACTCTTCTCTTGGAACGCACATCTCGTCTCCAACTCATCAAGTCTTCCTGTCAATGTCAAAACGCTTTAAGTTTATATTACATTTCTACTTCATTCTAGTCAAACTATAAAATCAGCTAAATCATTTATCAAATACTAGTAGAGTACCCGTTCTTCGTACGGGGTAGGCGTATAAGTATAAAATGCTTATTGCAGTTATACTCTAGCTTTGCGTTTGAAATAGGGGAGGATAATGCTTGAAAGAATTTGGTTCTTTATATTTACTGTATGCTATAGTACTGTATTGCAGTTATAGTGTAGTTCTCATTGTGTATCACAGCTTTTTGATTCAGCTAAAAGGTATTTAGCTAAAACCTATTAACTGACATTAACTGATTAACTGAATCAGCTGACAAAATTATTTAATTCCTTTTAAATGTGAATACCCATAAGGTTAACATAGTTAACTCCAGAGCCACTGGGGCGAAGCCAGAAAGGAGTTTTGGGATAACAATATGCCTATATGTTAATCGGGAATGTGAGCTATCATCACCCCAAATTTCAGCCCAATCCGACCGCAATTTTTCGCGTTTACTTGTCACAAACATAAATCCAAACTTTCTCATTTATAATATTAGTAGGATCTGAATCATCGTTTAAGCCTGAATAGCTCATCAATAGGCTACAATTTGAAGTTTTGTGTAGCCTTAAATATTAAGGTGAAATTCAACAAAATCCTTTTCTATCATCAGTATTACCATTGGCTTTGAATTATAACGTGGAAAAATCATCAATGAGATAGCTATTTTTCAAGATTCAGACAAATTAGCCTCTCATGCCAATTAGTGCTGGAATGCCATATATTTATAGAAAAATGAAAGATGCAATAGTTGACAGTAAGCTTCAAATTCAGTTTGGTATGAAAAAGCGTTTGTCTAAGTAAGAAAATATAAACTGTATTTTGTCTTAGCAAACATTATGTCACTGACTCTTTCATACTAAATTTAAATTTAAAACTGGCTTTGACTTCAACAAAGGATCGGAATTTCTACTTCCGAGTAGTGTCCACAGTTATTGGTATTGTGACTTAAATCGACACAGAAGTCAGGCTACAAAAGCCTCTACAAAACGTAACTGCCACTTGCCACAAATATCTTTAAGTGAATTAATACTCGTAGCAAATAGGTAGTTACGGTTTTGAACCGGACTCACCATCCTCTTCCGGAACATTTGCTGGTTCTGTGTCAGACTCTCGGGTTTCTCCAGCTCCTCGATGCGTCCCGTTATATCCCACAGGACTACTTGACCACTGGACGTCCCTCCGGCAATCAAGTTCCCGTTGTGTTTGCTAAACGATACGACTCTCACTTCGTATGGACTGTCCAGACGTAGCTAAGCAACTCAGAACTATTAGTCAATTTAAATCAATCGAAATAGCCAAATACAGTAGAACCTTGATAACAAGACTCTTATGGGGATTACTAAACAAGACTTGTAATCAACTTTAACTTCTTATAGAGGTTTACGTTTCAATAACGTATGATTATGGGTACCAAAAATCAAGTTTATTTGAAAGTTACCCTTGTTATCAAAGATGACTTGTTATTCAGGTCTTGTTATCGAGGTCCCACTGAATATCCATGAACAAAAAATACATGTGTCAGATAGTTTATTCTTCATAATAAAGGATAAAGAAGTAAACACACTGATTTTGTTGAACCCTAAATGAAAAAGTATATTAGGATCAACATAGATCTTATTGCAAATATTAATAATTTTAACAAAGCAAATTTTCATTCTTACCTTTGGAGTCAAGTCATCCACAAAGCTCCAAATCAGGACAGGATTGTTAACCTCAAGAAGAGGAAGTTCATCCTGTTTCTCTTTGATCTCTTCTTCATCAGTTACTTCATCAAAGAACTCCGAATCTGGGTAGGGATCTTTCTCTTTACCTGTCTCCAAAATTTTTGATTCCCTGAAAAAGTATTCGTTAGACAGTTCAGTTATATTTCTTACCACAAAATTATCTTGAAACAAAATTATTGTGTAATTTTTTAAGTAATTTTAAGTTACAAGCTGAATTGACCATGTGAATTTGATAACTTTAATAAGAAGCTGAAGAAAGTACAATTCCTCAAAAAATTACAGCAAATGACATGAAAACAGCTCGATAGATATTGTAACAGTTACATAAATCATTGCATTCCATAGAAATCTGGAAATATTGTTGTAACCTTTTATACCAATATCATGCTGTTTGCCTAAATTCGTCATGCAGATTAAAGTGACATCTTTTTCAAAACAAATGAAGCTTAATATATTTAGCTTTAGACTTAGATTTAGATTTAGCTTTTGTGTATTTTAGCTTTAGTAAGTCAATCTCCTAAGTAAACTTTCTCTTATATATATGAATATTGTAATATTTGTTAGTTTACAATACTTACATGGATGAAGAATCCACAGAAGATTTAGGAGTTGAGCTTTCTATTTCTCTCCCAGACTGGGTCCTGCCTGTGGCAGTGTGCCTGAAATTTATTTATTTTTATTTTACGTGTTTAGACTACATTACATTTTTTTTGGTGAAGGAACACTTTAAATCCATCTAGTCCTGTCTCTCTATCTTAAGTCAAATTTTTGTTCTGGTAGCATCATTATTGACAGCCGAAATACAAAAGTCTTTTGGATCCACAATTGACTCTGATCGTGATTGAACCAACAACCTTCAGATTTTAAGGTGAGCACTAAAGACCACCACTCGGCTATTCATACAATCCAGAAATAGTTACAAATTAACATGAGCATAAACAACACATTTTTTATTAGGAGCACATTATTGTTGTATAGAACTGTGTTGAGGTCAGTAGCCAATTTAACGTAAGTAAACTCATTAACAAGACAATCACACATAAAACACAAATTACATGTTACCAAATACTCAAAGAAGCACACTACTCACTGTATACACAAAGTTGTGCCAACATAACAATTGATTCTTAACCATACAGTAACACAAAATTAACTTACTGTCTCTGTTTCTTGCGATGATGCGCTTGTTTACGGGTAGAAGATATAGACCTGTTCAAAAGGGATGAATTATATAAAAGCAATAAATCTGTTTACCATACCTTTCTATTAGCTCAAAACAGAATTTTATTTTGAAAGTCAATAGAGGTTTCAAGTTTCAACCAATTTTATTACTGAACTTTTACTTTACTTTTTAGAGCTTTACTTTTTTTCTTTTTCAACGTCATTTAACAATAAAAATGGTTGTAGAACTGTATGTTGGCTATCTCCAATAAACAATCTATTGACAAATCATGTGAACTAGAATTTTGAAGAGAATTTATTAGTTTTACTTAATATTGAAGGAAGAACAAGAATAATAAATAAATTTCCCTCAGCTTCTTTTGTGAATAAAATGTAATTGTAGTGCAGAGCAAGAAACTTAACCTGGGCGGAAAGGAACAGTATAAAGGAATAATTTTCAAAACCTAAGGGTGAATCCTAGTAGGCCTACCCCAAGCACCCTCAGCTTTAGTAAATTGGCCAAAGGGAGGTTTTAGGTTTGTTTGAGGGTGCGAGGAGAAAAATTCCACTGCAATGGGGGTTGGAGGGGTGGGCATAATTATTTCTCAGGCCCATGGCATGTCACAAATCGTAAGCCTGAGCACTCCGATGAAAGAAAGTGGAAAGGAAATAATACCCAATAAGCAAGGAAGCAAATAGGACGAAAGTGGGTGATGTAAGAAGCCAGGCAACTTTAGTGTGCACCAGTGGATATAAACAATCAAGGTTTGTCAAGTACTTTGGCAGATACGAACTAGAAATTGGATATCTACCCCACATGTAACTCGTTCAGGTAATCAATTCCCCTAACAAACTGAGTGATTTAGGAAGTATTGGAGCCAAGAAGTGGACATAAACATTGTAGGTAGCCTTTCTCTACCTGCATAGTCAACAACAGAATCTCAGTTTTCATTTGCTATCCAACTGAAAGCATAATCTTTGTCTACAGCAGAGGATTACCCTATAGTGTTTCTTGATATCCTCAAAGGAAGAGAAGGTTGCCGTGACAGTACTGTCGCGTGAGCCGCGTTTGTTCTCGTTGTCGAGCTCTCACTTGCTGGGATGAAGAAATCATCCGCGCCAGATGCTGAAGAAACTTCTGAGGTAACTGGAACATTATCAGCAAAATCAGATAACATTCATATAGGAAGCAAAGAAGACAATGCAATTTTTGTACATTGCTTTTAAATAAATTTTGACTGAGTTTAGTAGCACATTAACACAATTGAATCTAAATACATAATTTTGGACTTATCAAAAGAGCTATGGTCTAACAGAAAAGTATTTAAAGTGTATTCAAAGTGTGGAATAAAATGGAATGACCTATGAAACTTGCTGGGTAGCTGAGAGGTTGTACAGTGCTCGCCTGGTTATCAAAATGTTGCCGGTTTGATTCTGAGAAAATTGAGTAGCTTTTTGATGGTTTGAAACTGGACCCAGCTGTTCCTGTTCATCAATGATTATGGCTCAAAAGAAACATCTGATCAGTCAGTTAACAAATGCTTCATAGATCATCTCACTCCATTTTTCAGTCAGCACTTTTTTCGTATTCAGCTTATGCGCCTTGGTAAATCTTAGAGTAATTAAAATGACAACAGTTATACTGGTAAAAACCAGCTGTTTCTGTAGTCACTAGTCAGAACCAATTGATACATATCAGCTAAATTCAGTTTTAACTTTTCTAAAGACCGAAAAAACCTTTTAACTTCAAAAATAAATCAAAACTATACTTTTACAACAGCCTTATAGTCTGTATGATGGATCCTGTCTCCTGGCCCTCCATCTCCCTGGGTAAACGAAGGGTCAGGAGACGTGTTTTATCATACAGACTATAAGACCAACAATTCAGTTTGTTTAGCATTATTTTGGGTTTCTGTCTTATATTTTTATTTAGTTGTATATTTATAGCTAATATTCTTTTAGTTAATATTTGACATATCCTACCATGTTGTCCCTCATAGCTTTCCTCAATATCAGCCTCTAGTTGCTGTCGAAATGTCATCCTGCTAGACTTCGGTGACACTTCCTCTTCGGACACTTGCTGTGTACCTTCTTCTTCTCCACCCTCGTTACCTTCTTCTCCTTCTCCCCCTTTCCCCTCCTCAACCTCACCATGCTCGTCCGATTTCTGCACACAAAGATTATCCAATAACAATAACACTTGCACAGATACAAAATTTAAGTTCAAGATTCCACAGAAATTATTTGGATAACAATGTTGTAAAATGGTTTGTTAAATCGAGTTAATAATATGTTCCACTATGCAAAAAGTGTCAAAATTACTAAATATTAGGATTTTTGAAAGGAACATAAAATGTCACTTTTCCATGGTGTTCCAAAGGTAAAAGTTCTTCAAATATCTTTATGGTTCTGACATATTTTTATAAAACAGGACTGATATGTTATAGAAATAGATATGGGTTATAGAAACCAAACAAAACACAAGTTTTGTATATTCGTAAAAGACAAACATTTTACATAAAACATGATCTTTTATCAAAACTATTAAAAATGAGTCCCACACTTTGTTTTTCCCCATTTCAATATTTTTACTTCATTTTTAAGAATCAATATTTCAACACTAATCCTACAGCTTAAATTAAACAATTCTTTGAACAGATTACCCGTGAAGTTGCACTATCGTCAGGCTCTGGTTCAGGTTCCTTGTATTCTCTGTATTTTAGCAAATTGGCAAACAAATCTGTTTCTTGCGTATCGTCCATGGATTTCCGAACTTCCTCAGTCTCCTCTTGAATTTTGGCATCCCAAACACCCTTTGAACAAAAAAAATCAGAACTATTTAGGGATTTCTTCAGACAATGTTTTGTATCAATCAGACTGGATAGTAATGTTCTACTTTGATTTTGTATTTACAGTTATACTCTATTGCAAAGCAAGATTTTAAACTTTTATCGTTGATTGGCAATTACTTAGCATTCCATTGTTGAATTACTTAACAACAAATAATAATTTAGTAAACAATGACATGGGTGAAGCATATAATTTTTTTCTTTCTTATAATGTGTCACCTTTGCTGCCTCAATATCCTTAAGTCTCCGGACAGCTTTTTCAAACAGTTCCGTGTTTTCCCCTGTGCTCTCTTTCTCCCTCCGTTCCTCCAGGAGCCAATCACGCGCGCCGGCTCCCAACTCCGGTTCTTCTCCCCCCTCCTCTTCCCCGTCAGTCTTCTCCTCCTCGTAGTCAGTCTGGTCGCTGTCAAACTCCAACTCCTTCATGAGGCAAGGTATCTCGTTGGCATAGGCAATCGCCACAATCCCTGTCAGAGTGGAATATCAGTAAATTGTGGTGGTTATGAAAAACATTAATAAACTAAAAGGCTGCATGGTCTAGTAAGTAGGCCTGCTAAAAAAAATAACTTTTGAAAGAAACTCTCTTATACTATTATAGTATTTGCGTAAAACTGCCCCAGACACCAGCTAGTTTATGCTAAAACTGGCTTCAGCTTTAACTCGGTAGTGGGAATGTTTATTTGGAAATCTAAAAGTCAAATTATCCCATCTTCACATCATAGGACGCTAGGCTCAGCTCAGAACCGTTTTGCACATTACATACTATCCCTAGAGGGTTGCGACATTATCGCACAGATGATTCATTAGTGATTGGAAGGATTTTAACCCGAACCCTCAGAACCCAATTCCTGCACTCTACAAGAGCAGCTTGCTCCCTATCCAAAAGTCAACACGCCACTCTACCTGTGTAGTTCGGATGCCAACAGCTGCTCACGACCAGTTTCCCCTGTATGGCAGCCACATCCGTGAAGCTCTGATACTGATGGTACGTGCCGAGTTGTTGTACCTGTGTCTGCTCTCCGGCCACGTACAGCGCTGGGTAGTCGTCATGGTATAAGTCATACACCTCGTTGTACTCAAGGCATTCTATCAAACTGATGAAGAGAATCTTAAACAACATTTGGGAGAAATCAAAATCCCTAGCACGGATTCTAAGAGCTAAGATGGCTTGTTGGACTGATCAACAGTTGTTTTAGCACACTGATGAAATATGAAAAAGCAAAGGTTTATTGTAAAATAAAAATGTGTACTATTCCACCAAACTTATCAGACTACATTCACGTTTCAAAGTCCATCACAGAGAACTGTTTGCAAGAGAAGACAAAAGATTTGACAGCTAGCTATTTTGACAGTGAAAGCCCCTCTTCTAGTACGTAAGAACCCAGTAATTTAAGGTGAAATTCTATCAAACCAAGTACCTACTTTACTAGAAAGAATGATGAACTCTAAATATGATTAGGGCATGAGGCAAAACTACATACAGAATTTAAGTCAAAATATGAATGATAAATTAGCAAATTTCATTTCTTATGTACAGCTTTTCGTTAAGACTATGACCAGTTGTTTCATCAGCCAGGACCTTAAGATGATTTATGGATGTAAAAGGATATTGTTTTGCTTAAAGCTTTAACCACATATTTTTTTCCCATACCGTTAAGGAAAAATAACTTAACATCAAAAACTTACTAGTCCTTATACTTTTTGAAGAACTCATCCAAGTCCTGGGACTTGATGGAGGCTTGAGTGACCGCCGTGTCAGGAAGTGATATTTCAGTTTCTGGTGCATACTGAGTGCTGGCGTTGGTCGGAATTTCTGGCTCTGTCTGTACCTCTGCTTCTGCTTGATATGCCACAGCCTGCACAATAGAAGCAGAAACACTGCCTAAATGATTGTGTAAAAGTGAGTCACTGTCAGTATGATTATGTGAAGTGAGCCACTGCCTTCATGATTATGTAAAAGGGAGACACTGCCAGCATGATAATATAAAAGTGAGCCACAGCCTGCTTGATAAAGAGTGATTCACTGCTTGCATGATCATGATATGGTAAGCCACTGCCTGCATGGTTATATGAAATGAGCTACTGCCACTGCTTATAAATTTGAAATATTTTCAAGCAGCTTAGCTATAGATGTGTAAATGCTTTTACCTGAACTCCAGTTTCCTGAGTTTTCCTGTAGACAAGCTCAAACTTCTCCTTATCAGAGGGCACCAGGCAGGTGTATCCATTCTTCATGTCGTCCGGGTCACAGTCTTCAAATATCGGAGGCTTTTCTATACGTTTTCTGATGTCGCCGATCCATTCCAGGCTAATCTGTTAAACGTTTGTTTGTACTTGTCAGAAAGCCTTTGCGCTAATCCCTACAAATATTCTACTCTACCTTTTAAGTCACAGAATTTTCACTTTTCTCACATTATTTCATACTTACCAGCTTTCTTGTGTTTTTTATCTGGAAATGATCAACAAACTCTTCACTTCCAAGGGAGTTCCACTTTCTAGGCTTGACTTCCTTGCTCTGTTGGATACGCTGAAGGTAGGATGTCTTCATCTCCTCCAGTTTAGCCAACACCTCGTCTCGACCAGTCTCCGTCACGCAGAGCATGAATTGGTTCGGCTCTGACGCAAACGGCTCATAGCCTATTAGGAGTTCATCTGACTTGTACTCCTGAAATTACATAAAATATTATGACAGAACAGTACCCATGTGAAAACTGACGTAAATTTTATTTTGTACAAATCACACAAAATTAATAAAAGTTTATGTTTTATTCTCTTTACTATACAATATGGCAAAGATTAACAAGAGATATTGACATTTCGTCATTTTCTATTCAACCACCATGTTACATTGTCGCTCTGGTAAAATAAATAATTTTTTGTGGGTATGTCTCCTATACACCGGAGACAGGTTCTTTGGCTATGAGACCTACCGCTTTGTTTTTAGATAGTTGGACCTTTATAGCATAAGCAAGCGACACCTTCCTAATCAAGTTAAGTTGTATGGCCAATCTTTCTCCAATGTTTTAATATTGTAGTATTCTAGTAATAAAACAAAAAAAATCAATCTTTTTTTCCAAGACCATGAACGAATATTAACCATACCAAGAGTTTCTGCGTTAAGTGAAAGAACGGAGAATTAGCATCTTCAATGGCAATATCCTCCAACAAATCCTTCTTCTTCACCATGCACCAAGTTTTATCCACAAACAAGTCCTTGCCGATCTGACAGTGAGCAATTTTCTGAGCTGTCTCCGGCACCATCAGCGTTACCACATCCAGATCCAGGGATACAGCGGAACCTGAAAATATTTAGAACTGGATCACTGAAACCCATCAAAAACAAAATACTCAAAATACCAGTTAATAAAGTACAAAAAATTGAACATGGAATATCCAACCAAATGATGCTAGCCTATACTGAATTATTTTTAACCACTTTTTGAGCGTAGGGTTCCACCCATGAATAAAATTGATATTTTTTTCAGTGTCTTCAGCAGGGAAATAATTTGAACGTTCAAGTGAAAGCAGTCAAAATACCTAAAACCTTAAGAAAACAATAAATTATTGTAAAATCTATTTTCTCATGACTTTGTTACATATTTAACTACTGTACTTTGTTCTGTTTCTTCTATTGCACTTTAATTTGTAGGCTAATGTGTATATTTTACCTGAAGATATCATAGAGGCGGTGCTGTGTGCTGCTACTGATTTCGGCCCACCTTTCTTCCTCGATGCTGTACTTTGCCGTTCGATATCCATTCTTGAGTGTCTTAGCTTTGAAAGCCGATGTTCAGTGTAATCATCATTACCGTTTTCTTTAGATATTGTCCTTCTTCTATGAGCATTACCATCCAAAACATCGGACGCCTCATCTGTTTTAGAGATTTCTGTTTTTGCAATTGACTTCCGCTCCTCTTTTGGCTTAAAATGTTCCTCTTTGGAATCTAGACGGGAGATTGTTTTCAAACTTCTTATACTCTTAGTACGTTTTTCTGACTTATCAGAATCTTTCCGAAGAGAAGATTTCTGGGCCTTTTGATCCATTCAGTAGGCCTAGAATATAAAAATAAAAAAATATGAGTTTGAAGACATTATAAATTCTAATATTGTTATTTATTTGTTTTCAGGAATAAAAAAAAAGATGAAAAGTCTCCTTGCTCTATTTATATTTAGTTGATATACCTGGTTAATTACTAGTTACTAGCTTTAGTAATGTTGGTAAATATGCTGGAATTGCAATCAATGAAAACCTATATAGGAAAACTACACAAAATCACAAAAAAACTCAAAACTAACAAAATTACCAACTTTGTCCAAAATATTAATAATTAACTTCTTAATTCACACTGTAGATACGGTAACAGAAATACATTCAACAAAAAACAAACTAAAAAATCCTAGATTAAATCACTTCTATGTATGTTTTTAAAAATTTGTTTATAAACAAAACCATTTTACAGTAAATTTTAAAACATTAAGCATTGTGAACATAGAGTAAAAAAAGGAAATCACTGTTGAGTTTTTGATTTATTACAGAATGTAGCTCTCTGTCAAGAGTGTTTTGAATTTTCTTTTTATTTCCTTATGTTAGTTTTAATTTTCATTTACTGTTGAAAGAGTCTTATATAAAATATTATACTGCAAAAATGTCAATATTTTTATTCCGTTTTGACTGTTTTACAAACTCAAGACTTGAGTGTTTCAGCTGTTGCTAAAGGAAAAAAAAGAAAAAACGACAGTATATGATCGACTAAAAAATGTTGTTATTTTGTTCCTGTTAAATTTTACCATGCACAGTTATAGAAGTCCTAAGCACACTTAAAAAAAATTAAGACTTTAAAAAGTATAAAAGTATTGCTCTGCCTGAGCTTAACTAGTGTAATAATTAAAATTTGTACAGTAAATAATAAATTTTTGGTGCAATGAATGGCCAATTTCATGCAACTCAGGTTTTTAATACAAATCTATATTTTTATAAAACGCTATTAAATTAGAATCATAGATTAATAATGAAATTTACCAATAAAATTGTAAATCCAATATTTGTAAGCCATTCTGATATACGGAAGTCGTCATTTCACTTCTTAATTCTTTGCCTCAATAGTAAAATAATATAAGTGTTTTATATTATTTTTTGTTAAAACAAAACTAACACTCAACACAACTTCAAAGTAGTAAATCCAAATAAAAGGAACAGCTGATTGACCAAACAACTCATTGTTGTCCTTGTTGCTATGGAAATATCAGTCTGGCCAACATTGTGAAGATAATTTATCTACAACTCCATAATTATAGTAATTTGTTTTTATATATTTATAGTGTTTTCATAACCAGAAACCTACGACAGATTGTTTAGTGGTTTTGTTTGTTAGGGATACCAGCTGGTATCCATCTAGATGTTTCAAATGCTAGTATTTGATACAAAAAAGTATGAATGTAAGTTTTATCATAGACTAACCAGCACAAGTAGACTTTTCATCCCATTGTAAATTTTGAAGCACGTTTTTCGTGTCTAGTTCATGTACGTGACACAAAGGCGCTAGTGTCGATGAAACTTTGTTTCCATTATTTTAGGGTTAATTTCTTGATTTGTGCTTTACTGTTTGGTTATATAACTAGGGGACAAGTTATTGTTTATGATTGAACGTATTATTTGGTTAAACGAGGTTTTAAATGGCTGTAATAACGGGAAGCAAATTGTAAACAAAACACGACCTCTACATAAACCGTACATGAACTAACAATAAAATTGTCTTCAGCTGTTCCATAAGGATGAGAAATCTACTAAGGGAGTATGTTTTATCTATGGTTTTATCATCTAACTAGTCTAATCAATGAAAAACAATTTTTTAAGGCTATTTTGAGCTGTATTTTGACTTTGGATACTAAATTTTTTATTATTTTAAAACTTGCTTTTCAATACAAATTTGGAAAGTCTAATTCACTGTAGTATCTGTACAGTAAAAAATAATTGCTCTTAGACATTTGCAGGTTTAGTGTACTATATTTTGTTTAGTTAACCTAGTAAAGTTACCCTAATTTGTGTATGTGTTTCTCAATTTGTATAAAAAATAAATTAGATTTTAAGACATTATGCATCAATTTGTACTCTAATACTTAAATGTCTGCATTAATTACCTAGTAATAAAGATTTTGGCAATTCAGATTGCCAAAATTCATCATTAAATTGTTGCAATAAAAGTATTACTTTTGTAATGAACATTACATTCATAAACATTTTGTTACTAAAATTAATCAACAAGAACAGATAAGCAATGTGTTATATAACTTATACACTGTTTAGTTCCATGAAATACAGTGAGTACAAACATGAAAGTGATTGTGGTTTTAAAATGTGTTCTGTTTATTATTTATATCAGGTATTGTAATGAATTCTCTAGAAATAATTATACAATTTTTAATTTTAAACCATAAATAAAGAATATTTATTTTATTGCTTAATGTAAAATTTTAACAATATAGAATTATTATAACTCTGTAGTCATGCATTTTAACATATATGGTTCCTTTGACCATTAATGTTTTCATAAATTATTCAATTCCTATAAAATTGATGAATTATGGAACATATGTCTTAGTTGAAAAAAAAACTCAATATACAAATAAAAATGTGCAAAAAATTCTAAAAAACATGTCAGATTGCTGAGAATATGTAAATAGCTCTAAATGTGTAAACAAACAGAACTATTATTAAGCTTTAATAAGACAGTTTACAGTACTTGTTGCAAAATAATGCAAAACAATAAAAAAAAAACTCTGGTTTTATGTTTTATAAAATATTTAAACCATAATAAAGATATTAAAATTAATTTTCAAAAGAGTATTCCTTGATCTACCTCAAACATAAACCATTCAAACAAACACTACTACAAGTTTTTAACTTTTGCAGTAATGTTCAAACGACAACAGAAAATCCAAATGAAAAGGACAACTTTTATGAAGACGACCAAGGTTTCATCAAGGCTAATCCAAAGTTCAAAATCGATGGCCCGTTACCGACAGGTGCAGTGAAAATATACAAGCAAATGCTTGAAGAACAAAACAATCCCCCAGAAAGTACAACTAAAGCAAAAAGACGAAGACGAAATGTCGAAGCTATGTCACAGTTTCTCTCAGGCCATGATGAGGAGGAAAGGGAAGAACTTATAAGAGATATGAAGCATAGCATGGTTACAAAAGAAGAACTTGATTATTATAGTTTGGATGTCAAACTTGAACCTCCGAATGATTTCATTACCAGAGTTCCTCTAAAGTACAACGAAATAAATGTAAGTTTGTTCACATATTCGTTAGGAATTTGGTAGTTTTATAAACTGTCTTAGATTAAAGACATAAGTACGATGTACATGTTTTGTCCTTATGAAAAATATGCGGTGTAGTTAAATATAAGGGAGGAAATATCGAGGGTTTTGGTACAAAAGAGGTTTATTTTATGAGAGAAAATATATTAGATCATGTCTTTTTAAGAGGTGATTCGTGATGAAAGAATGCAACAATGATGATTAAGATATGTTCATGTGATGGGAAATTACAGATAGACTGTAAGGAACAAAATACATATAAATTTATAAAAAACACGAAGACTACTTGACTGAAAGGTTGGCTTCAGAGAATTTCATGTGTCCTATTTTAATATCTGGTACATGAACAGTGGTGTGGTGAAAAAAACTGTATTTTCAGCATTACAATGTCAGTAATGTCACTGAAAAGTTTATTCTTTAAGGCACTGAAGGCAGAGTACAGCTATAGTCAAAGCTTTAGTTTTTTTTTAAACTTATGTTTATTTTACTATTTCATGATGAATGAATATTTTTAGCATTACAAATGAAGACAACTATTTTTAATTGCATTTCATAGTCTTGTTACAAAATAAATGTACCTGGAAAGGAGGCGTTTGAATTAAGTCAGTTTTCTTCCAGGGACAGTTCCAAGGGAAAATTTCGATTGGGACTCCGCCACAAATCTTTGACATGATTTTTGACACAGGGTCGTCGGACTTGTGGGTTAGATCAGACAAGTGTATATTTGAAAACTCCAACGTTGGGAATCCAGGTAGGTCTAGGGATATCTTTATGTACGTGTTTATCACTTCTGAAGCATTTTTTTTTTTAAATTGGCAGCCAATTGACAAATGGGATCTGGATCCAGTTGCTATCTTGCTTGGAGTAGAACCAGGGACCTTCAGATTTGAAGGCAGGCACTACAGGCACTCAGCTATCCAGACGAACTTGTTGAATCTACTATGTGTAATCTTACATAGGAGAATGAAGACCGTCCTTGATATTAAATAATCCATTTTCAGAGCTAACAAAATACTGTTGCCTAAAAACAGTTTATAGATTTTGTCAAATTGTGTAATTGCAAATTACAGTAAACGTTTATACAAAACTGTGAATAAGAACTGAAAATTTCATCCTCCAACAGTTTGAAAATTCTATTGCCCTTCTGAAGCCAAATTCTTGTAGTAATACATTTTTTAGAAAATTTCAAATTTCAAAACTCAAACTTAAAATTAAGCTTATCAATCCTGTATTTTTAGGTTTAAAATTTCACATGTTTCAGATTCTGCTAATTCGTTCAAAAGTAGTCTGTCGTCAACATATGAGAGGTTAAACAAGACTATTGACAACCAATATGCCTCAGGACGGATCAAAGGACTAACCGCACTGGAGGTTGTAAGAGTAAGTTGACATCTAGACCTAAAGATGTAGTACCTTAAAGTTTATATAAAACATGTAAAAATAAGATATCATTCAATTTGAAACTTTTCCTAGTGTTCAAAAATGGTTTATGAATAGTTTTCATTTAAGGCAGTTGTTCATATTGAATTTTGTAGAAATTCAGCAAAAATATTTTCAATTCTCATCCAACCATTACATTCTATTTACTCTTATAAAAACAATCAAAAAGCTGCTTTATATTTATTTATGTTGTTTTTACAATTAACGGCAATGTTTTGTTTGTCTTCTAAAAACCTGTGAATGAGAAACTGTTTTAGTTATCAAATTATAATTATAATGCTTGGACACCCAATGCAATTGCATAGACGACATCATTCAGAATGTAAAGACAGATAGGTATAATAACATAAGTAACATATCTATCATCACCCCAATGACATTACTGATCAAATACTTATAAAGTTGTGAGGACGTTTCCTCCAGAGCACTAGGCCTTATCAAGGGTGGTAAGGGTCGATAAGTGAAAGACTCTGGGTATCTCAAACTTCCATTTTATTCCTTTCTATCCTTATCCTAACACATATGTTTCTATGTACAATCGTATATACAATCTTGATCCTGGGTCCGTAGTCCTCCTACCAGGCAGTGTCTCCGGACTCGTATTCAGGGGTTGGGCAGAGGTTAAATCAAGTCTTGCTTGCGCCCTTACTGGCCCGGTGGTCTACGACACTCCTAAAAGATATCCGTGTGGGTCCGCGGTCTAGATCCTTGGCACCTTCACCCCGGAATCCTCGGTCCCCGGGTGCCGGGGGCTCAACACACCCGTCCGACAGTGCTGGGGGCTCAACACGCCCGTCCGACGGTGCCGGGGGCTCAACACGCCCGTCCGACGGTAGCGGGGGCTCAACACGCCCGTTCAGCGTACCTTAGGCTCAGCACGCCCATCAGGTGTCTCGCGGGCTCAACACGCCCATGCGAGGGTGTCGGGGGCTCAACACGCCCGTCCGACGGTGCCCGGGGCTCAACACGCCCATCAGGCCCCACACCGGTGGCTCAGCACGCCCATCCGGCGGGGTCGGGCCCGGAGGCCCAACTGACTTCTCGGTGCCAAACACCCTGGTTAAGTACCCGCCGAATGGTACCCAAGTGGTGGGGGTAGAGTACCTTACCACCTCCATCGGAGCATCTTTCCCCTCCTTAGGAGTCATTTTCGTGCCTCCGAGTACTTTTGTACCATTAACCTCAAAATTCTCTAGGGAGTCAAAAACACTTATGAGAGGTTAAACAAGACTATTGACAACCAATATGCCTCAGGACGGATCAAAGGACTAACTGCACTGGAGGTTGTAAGAGTAAGTTGACATCTAGACCTAAAGATGTAGTACCTTGTGTATCATCTTGTCTGTACAGTTATCTATAAAAGACAGAAAATTATGGTACTAGAGTCTCGCAAACTTGGCGTAATGTGGACTGGAAGGGTGCCGAATTTGTGAAAAGCCAAGTTATCGGGAACTATAGGGTTAAAAATAAGAACAGTACAATTTTTAAGCTTTTTTACTGCCTTTTTTATTGGTATTTTTATTACATTATATTACACGTCAGTATAAAGTCATCAGATATAGTACAACAAATCTTTGGTACCTTAGGAAATAAAAAATGTATACTCTGTACATTCATATTTAACTAAAAAAATCAATAATTTTCTGAGCCAGGTGATAGCCGAGTTATCCGGACTGCCGGGTTATTGAGTGCCGAGTTTGCGGGACTCTACTAGTATGTGAATAGTCTATGTACCACAGCTATTGATGTAAAAACATATTTACAGTTTTAAAGCTGTGCGAAAGAACAATAATCCTCAACTTCCATAATAATCCATCAATTTCAGCTTGGAAATCTGACAATCCACAACCAAATGATCATTGAAGCAACGCTTCTTCAAGATTTGCCTTACACATATTTCGACGGCATCTTTGGCCTCAGTCCCAAAGATGATCGCCATTACCTTATGTGTCCTCTTCACAACATGATCATGCAAGATCTTCTTCCAGCTCCGATGTTTTCCCTCTACTTCTCCGAGTAATAATTTTCAATATAATTTGGGTAATTAAATTCTATATTGTAGATTAGTACAGTTGAAGCTATTAACCAATTGGGCCTATAATAGTTTTTTTTTTTTTTTTTTATTTAATTATGTGTACCCTTATGTCCTTTTATCCTCATTATAACACAAAAATCCCTATACTTATAAAACAAGTTTTAGAGGTTGACACACACAGTATATTAACTAACAAATAGTACATCATTGATGTTATTGGGACAAAGCATTAATTGTCTGGTAGCTGAGGGGTTATATTGGCAGTGATGGTGATAAGGAGGAAAAGCTATTGGCTTCTTTCATGATTGAAATAGATACCTTTAAATTGTTAGGCGAGCACTATGACTACTCAACAGAACGATAATGATGCTACGTAACAAAAGGTCGTTATAAGTAAGACCAGGGTATGGACCGTATCCTTACAAGTTTTTAATTAGCATAAAAAAACTGAAAAATAAGCAATTCCTAGTTATGTTTGGTGATATAGCAAAAATTGATTTGTTTCAGCTCCAAGAATGAACTCATACTTGGAGGAGTGGACCCAAACTACCAAAAGGGAGATTTCATATTTGTGGAAACCCTGAGCAAGGAGGCTAAACACTGGAGGTTTTTCCTGAAAGGGTAATTATTCAGGGTGTCCCAGAACTCTCTGGAACCCTTTTGTATATTTGTTCCTTATATGGGTTTTTTGCATTGTTTTTACCTAAAGAACACATAATAGGGTTGCAGAGAGTTCCGGCACACCCTGTGCATACAGTTAAATAACACACAGCAAAACACATTTTTATAATACAGGGATAAAAAAGACATATGGAAAACTATGCTGTACATAATTTACATTCTGTGTCACTACTTTTCACATTCGACAGTTTGTATACCACATGTGAGATTAGACTTCATTCGCTTAACACCTTGGATCCAGTTTTGTGAAAGAGATTTGTTTATACCTTAAAAGTATTTAAATTGATTTATAATCTAATCATTAACATGTTTTTCACACTTGAATCTTCCTTAATAAAACTCAAACACAATAAACATTTTCTATTAGATTGATCAACCATTGATTTCACCTTATTTTGACAGAATATACATTGGAGATGAAGAGGTGAGCAATAGAGGATGTATGGGGATCGTGGACTCCGGATCAGACTTCCTGATGGGTTCTGCGGATTTGATAAAGTCTATCGTCAAGGCAGTAGATCCTGAGGGAGTGACCAATAAGGTTCATGACGCTTACACGGTAAGATCTTTTGTTTACCTAAAAGTTGAAATCAGGATAGATATAAATTGATAAGTAGAGTCTTCAGAGGTATAGAAAAGGGATGGATTGTGATGCCTTGGAGCAGAGATTCCCACTTTTACCATTAACTTTTGTGTCCTATTAATAGTCAAAGCTATTACTATAAGAAACAACCCTGATTTCAAAAACATTAAAGTTTAAATTTCCTACTTGTACCAATAATCAATTGTACCAATAAATTGTACCAATAAAACAAATTAGTACCTTGCTATGTAACAATACTTAGTACATGAAATAAGGAGCCGAATTAAGAATTTAATTTTTTAATTTTTTTAAAACTGAAGTAGAAAAAAATGGACCTTAAAATTGTTGCTTATTTTGTCTTGATTATATTGTTCAGTATATTCTAATGGTAATTATTGGTCTATTTTGTCATAATAGTTTCAAAGTTGGGTCAATAACAAGAAAAACTTACTGAAACTCAAACCACACTCTATAAGTCTAAAGTCTATTGTTGTTTTTATTCATTTTATAATTAGATTTTATTTATAGTACCTATTTAGAGTAATGATAGAATGAATATACAAATAAATACTAATTTCCTTTTATTCTTCATACTAGGATAATTTTGCACTCTTTCCCTCATAATATTCAGTTCTTTAGAAGGGTGTTATATTTAGTTTTAATATCTGATCATTTCAAATGCATAATTTTGTATATGCCTGAAAAAAATAAAAATATTGAATCTTGAATACTGAACAAACTACGCCTTAAAACTATTTTTGGCTAAGGATGGCTTAACAATAAAAGTATGACATGTCTATTAGAAATTAAGTTTTATGTTTAAAGTTTACTAACAGAACTAAATACCCCCGCCGCAGCAAACCTGCAGACTAAGCGAATTTCCATTTGCCTGATTGGATTTACACTAGCCTAAAATGTCTCCTTAAAAATATCACATTTATTCCCTATTTAAATAGAATCAGTTTAACACATACTTAGGTTTGCTGCAACAGGGAGGGTAAAAGTGTTTTTTTATGTAAAATGTTAATAGTTAGTAAGAAATTAAAACATTTTCCAAATTTGGGCAAAATATGTTCATAAACAAGCAAACTACAACAGTTTACTTATTCTCCATAAGAATAACATGGGAATTTTAAATTAACAATTTCTCCGTAACCATTAGGCGCATTATAACGCTTCAATATACTAAATTATTTGTTTTTTTAAGCTCTACAAAATAGTTTGGAAAGAAATTACAAAATTTTATGTTTTTTGGGTCAAAAATTGGAAAAACCCATTTTTACCCCATAAAACCCCCCATAATCCCCCGTTCCCATGGTCCGATTATGCTGGATCGCGAACTCGTTCGAATAAACGTAGGTTTACACGTTTGTACCAAATTTCATCAAAATCGGATCATTTTTGCTCGAGTTATCGCGCTAACGGACATATATATATAAAAATAAATATATATATAAATATATATATATATATGAATTTGAACGGATGGTGTTTTTGGCCTCTAGGGACCTCAAAATGAAAAATTAGATCGGTCTCGGGTCCAGGTCTTGCCATGAGTACTACGGTAATAGCTTATATCCTATATGGGAAATTCGCTAAAATATTAAATCTTGAATACTGAACAAACTACGCCTTAAAACTATTTTTGGCTAAGGAATAAGGATGGCTTAGCAATAAAAGTATGACATGTCTATTAGAAATTAAGTTTTATATTTAAAGTTTACTTTAACTAAAAACCAAGAACAAAACTAATAACACTTTTTGTATAATCGATTCTCTGTTTCCAGCTGATGTGTAGTGATACTGAAAAACTGAAGGATATCGTTTTCAAAACAATGGACAATCAACTGCTATCTCTAACAGCGAAAGACTATGTAAAGAAGGTAAGACTGGCTGATGTTTTTTTTTTTTTTTGTTTTACATCTGTTAGTGAAGATATATAGTGAAGATAAAGCTTCCATTATAAAATGTTGTGCAAAGTAAGAAACTGTTGTTTATTAAAGGGATTATAGCTATCTCAAACTAAATAAGTTCGCCCAAATAAAAATAATTTAATGTTAGCAAACTTTCCCATAGGGAAGAAGCTTTTATTAAGATCACCATAAATATCAAGTAGGTAAGTATGTGTCAGTGGTACAGTTAAACAACTACTTCGCAATTTGCAGAGGGGGTAAAAACGCTATACTATCCTCAAAGTAATTTTGGGTCTTCCAAACCACTAATCGACTAAGTGAGGCCACGCATAGAAAGTTACTGTCAGGGGTGTGAAGAGGGCAAGTCTCAGGTAGCTGGTGTTTCGGTGGCAAACCAATGAGTTTGGAAAGGCATTACTTTCCTACATAATTGACCCTTTCCTCTATCCAAAACCAGGCACAAGTGGGAAGTTCTTAGACTTTGTTTGATTGTAGGCAACAGTTAACAATAACTCGTGAGTTTGAATCTTTAAAACTATGAATTTAACCATAGCCTCCTCTAATACAAGGCGGTGTTGGTGTGTCGCAACGTCATGCCTATTGCCATGGTAACAGAAATAGCAAAAGTGTAAACATAAAAATTGCATATCTACATTATAAATTAATCCAACAGCTGTTTCGGTTTGATAGAACAGCTGTGTTGCCACTTTTGTTTCGCCGTGGCCTTGTGTTGGAGGCTATTCAACTGTAGCTTTGGATAAGGACAAATTACTCATAATTATTTTGTTTCACAGGCAGTCATCAACAAATCTGAATTCTGCTATACTCCCTTCGTAGTCCTCGAGGGGTTGGAGACACCCAGTTCAACCCCCGTGTTGTGCTTCGGAACAGTCTTCATGAGGAAATACTACACCCAGTTTGATGTAAAAAATAGTCGAATCGGTTTTGCACTTGCTCAATAAACTTGAGTGTAGATTCCACATGGTTCAATAAATCAATTTATGTGAGCTTTTGTTCTCAATCCGCAACCCTACGTTGTAATGATTGCCTTCACCATGCAAGCAAATTAATCTTAGTTATTGTTTTATGCGTTGATTAATGATTACCCTCTCCATTGTACTGAGGTTGTCAATGATTTCTTACCCCTCCAAGAGAACGTTTTGTGCGCACTCATCCAAAGGTGTATCTTCTGATTAAGGATCTTCATTGAGGAGAAAATGTATATACATAGACATAACAACACAAAAATGTAAATATATATTTCTCAGTCATAACAAAACGCAATCTTTCAATAGTACTTCTATTTAAAGTCAGTCTTAAATATAAAATAATAATAATGTTTCAATAATTTTGCTTTGACATACATTTCTACATTTTTGAAACCTTTTCTTTTGTATGAACAACATCTATGTTTAATATAAACTTGCCTTAATATGGTAATTTTATAGAGAGATCGTCAAAATTAAATTACCAAAAGTAACTTTAGCTGTGAACAACAATTTATAATCCTTGAAAGTACATAAATTGTTTATTCCTAATACAAAACTAGAATAATTTTAAGTGTTCAAACTACTCTTGATGAATTTACAGGGACAAAATAATCATAGTTAAGGAAGAAGCTTTGAAAATATTCACTTCGGTGATGTAGATGTTCTATTTCCATTGGAAAGTTTCAGCCACTTTAATAATAAGAAGAATTTTATTTAATTATTTAGCCTCTGACAAAATGCTACAATACTTACTTACCCCCCAAAATAAAAGGTTACATTGTAAGAAAATCTTCAGCATATTTTATTTCCCATCAAGTATCATGGGAAGACTAAAAGAACAAAAGAGAACTGTGATACTAGCAAAATTTATGTGAAGCCCATCAAACTATAGGACTTCAAGTAAAACAACTAGCTTCAGCCATAGACTTACCAACACAAGTAGACTTCTCATCCCATTGTAAATTTTGAAGCACGTTTTTCGTGTCTAGTTCATGTACGCCACACTGGGCGCTAGTGTCGACGAAACATTGTTTCTATTATTTTAGGGTTAATTTCTTGATTTGTGCTTTACTGTTTGGTTATATAACTAGGGGACAGGTTATGTTTTATCTATGATTGTAATAATAGAAAATTGTATGTAGAACTATTAATGATAAGGCCTACAAACAAGATTATACAGAGGTGAAAATATAAAAAAATGAAAAATTATGTTTACTTGCATCTACTTGTTTATGATTAGATCGTATTATTTGGTTAAACGAGGTTTTAAATGGCTGTAATAACGGGAAACAATTTGGAAACAAAACACGACCTCTACATAAACCGTACAGAACTAACAATAAAATTGTCTTCAGCTGTTCCATAACGATGAGAAATCTACTAAGGGAGTATGTTTTATCATAGACAAAAAGAATTAAATATAGACCGTCAGCTGTGCTGCGGTTACCATAGGTTCTGGCGCACACCGCTTGGAGCACCACGGTAGTTACGGCGTACGCGCTACGTAAACTACAGCGGTGTGCGCCGGAACCTATGGTAACCATAGCAACCGCAGCACGGCTGACAGTCTATATTTCGTTCTTTTTGTCTATGGTTTTATCTATGCTTCAGCTTGTCCATATAGATGGGATGTCTAATCATAGACAAATAGAATGAATATACATAGGTGTGCTATTCCCGTCATATGCTGACGTCACTCAGATTGCAAACCAAAAATCAGCTGATTGTATTGCCATATAAGTTATATTTGTTTTCATTTGATTGCTATTGTTTTTGATAATTTTTCTAAATGGTAAAAGGATGTTTGCAATCTGAATGACGTCAGCATATGACAGGAATAGCACACCTATGTATTTTCCTTCCACCATGGTCACATACAGTGTCCAATTTATGTGATGTGTCTGAAGTTTCGCTCTGTTTCATAACTTGGAAACTGTCTGCCTTTCCAAGAGTTCTATCATGTTGTTGAGAGCTTGAGATATTTCTCGGAACAGCCTAGGTGAACTAGTCTCTTGGCAATCTTTACGGACTGATATCGTAAATATTAACCTGAAACAGTTCATGAATGGTTTTGTAATAGAATTAAATTGTGAAGTATAAAGCGTTACTTTTGTAGGCAAGTCGAATCAGTTTATGATTTGTTTGTCTGCAGGTGTGATTTAAAAGTTATTTGTGAATTAAGGTGTTGAAAAAAAAACTAACCTTACATCAATTCTAGTATTCTAAAATGTCTTTATCATGACAAAAAACAATGAACCAAAGTAGCTTAAATTATTTACCAAAATATTTACTATACCAAGGTTTGTAATAGGTATATTGCCGTTTCGATGCCTAACTTTTTAAGGGAGAGGTGTGCTGTAGGTCGTGAAACGTCAGTCTCAATTGCATTAAAAACGTGACTGTAATTGAAATGTTTGTACTTGGCTATGTTTAAATTTTTAACGGGTTTTTTTACACTTCACAGAACAGATTGAAAAATAAATACCTACTTAAAATTTGTTGAAAGCAGTTTATATAATAATATGCCGTTAAGTTTTTACTTTCTTGGACGATAAATTAAGTAAAACAATTCCTCCAAGAACGAGAAGATCTCATTATTAAGATAAATATTTAAAAAAAACTACTTTCTTTAAAATAGTAACAATTTACCTTTCCGGCAATATGCTGTAGAAAACGCCGTAACCATCAAAACACATCGGGGCTACTCCCCCTCCAATAGGAGAATACCCTAGTAAACTTGTCGACAGGGTGAAATTTCCTCCACCTCCACTGCAACAAAAACAAATAGAATATAAAACACTGCGCAAATCGATAACAATTGATAATTTTCTCACTCAAGTAATTTGAGTGAATTTCAATTTATTCTTGTCAGTCTTCAACTGTTTTGCTATAGGACACTGGAAATAGTTTAATTTAAAATAACAATTTGTTTCTTACCTTTTCTTAAACAGCTGGTCCTGAAACAGTTGTGGTACAGTCAGGTTGTTCTCCACAGCGACACAGTACAGTCCCATCAGGTGACGATCGCACCCTTCGCCTCTGCGAGCCTCAGCCATCAACTGGTTATGTTTCTGAATCGCCTTTAGTAAGAGTTTAGCTCTGATTGTGTCCTGGAATAATAAAAAATTAAAATTAGATAATAACTAGACATTTCATCCCCATGTTAAAGTTGTCGATAGTTTTATGTCAAAATGAGCCACTGACAAGTTGCGCTTATGTAAATTATTGATTGTTGAGTATTCAGACTTTTTAACAAAGGTCAACTGATAGAACGACTTATTGAAAACTATAGCATCTTTAATGTAACGTGAACTATCTCAGTACGGTATGGTAACAAAAAAAGGTAGAAAAATATTATTGTTGGCACTATTTGTAATCTGTGACTGGCTCACAAAACTATGTTTTTTTAAATACAAATTGGCGACAGTGACAGTATCCACTATCCAAAAGACGATAGTACTAAATTTAGCTATATCAAAAATGTACATAAAGAGACCTCCCTTAAATATCTAAATGTAAGCCGCCATCACAAAACAGCCCTGCCTCATATTAGTTATGCAGACCATCTGTTTCTCTTCAAAAATAAAAATAAATTGTTGCCTATGTGCTCCATAGTTTGATTCTTTACTCCATACCCACAAGATTAACTTATTTTCCAGAAATTTCCACTACAATATACATGTCTTTTTATTGATTAAAAAAGTAACTCACGTTGCATTGTGGGTCCGTCATGGATTTCACCCAGGAAACACATTCTTCTGAGCACGCCCTGACTGTCTCAGTTCGTCCGTTGTAGAATGTCCGCGTTGTGGCAGTCTCATAGCAAGGAGCGTACCTGAAAAGAACGTAAAATATTTTAAAAGCTTATTAAAAAAATAATAACGGAGGATATCATTCACATTGCATACAACGATACAACACAATTTTGGCTACAACCTTATTATGGGAATATCGCAAATTATGCATAGTAGTGTATCCATTTTGAAGGTAATAGCAATCAAGTATGGTAATAGTAAAAAATTATTAGAATACCTGGAATGCAGTCTGAAGTAGGCAAGCTGAAGAGCCATTTGAATAAACGAGTCTGGATGGATTCGTGAGTTCTGGATTCTTTTCTTCCCGAATGTTAAAAACTCTTCTTGGGAAATTAGGAACTTATCTTTCTGAAAAAAATAATATTTTTGTAGACAATATCTTAAATGTTAAGTTTAACGCTTTGTGATACATTTTATATCCAATTTTATTTTTAGAACTTTACACATTATCGCCAAATCTGAAAACTGTTTTGATAAGTCTGCCATGTTCAGCTACAAAACAATATAATTTTATTTTAGGGAAAATTTTACAGTTTGTACTTTATTTTCTGGTTATAAAACCAGAGGATAAGTGCTAACTTAATTTACAAAGAGAAAATAAAAAATTTACATATATATATACAAAGAGAAAAATAGGTCGTTATTTATTTAAGCGATTTTTAATTTAGCCAAAGAACAAGAAACAAAAACCTACAAGGAAGACTTTTTAAAAACCGGACAGTAGGTGATCCATAAGAATAGAATAAGGATTTATTTTTTAATATTTGGTATGATACAGTAGAGCGTCAAAAATACAAACCAATTGTAAACTACCTATATGGATAGGTAGTTTAGATTACCGATTTGTTCGGATTTTCAAACCTAGAAATAGGTACCTTATAGACACATAATAACTCACTATTTTATAGTAAATAATTTCTGCTACAATAAATATTTCTACCATACCTCTTTTTGTTGATCGTCCATTGCTCTTTCAATCTCAGACCTTATATGTGAATCAACAACAAACTCAAGTTGTTGAGGCTTCGGTAGTTGTTGACTTGTCATGTTTACATTTTGCCCAGCAGATTCCTTCAACGCTGAGTAGGTGAAATGCATTGCTGATCCGCTCACAATGCCATCAAACGGAGAATGCTGAAATGGAAAGCATATTGTGAAGTAATGTTTGTTTACAAACAATAGTAGTCAATAAAGTAAAAGTTA